TAACAGGTTTTGTGAGCAGCTGTGCTGGGTGTGTGTTTTACAGATGATAATGCCTATTGCTTCAATCACTTGACAATGTAGTAAGATAGTCTTGCTGTGTTTGGCTGCTCTTTCTGCTGTGTGGTGTCCTAGACTTTGTCACTGAGCACCCTCGAAATCCCGCACTGATGGCACCACTAGTTATATCAATATCCCATGTAGCTCAGAATTCTCAGAGCAACGCTTCAGCTCAGGCTTGAGAATCATTTGCCCTGCCAGATGTTACTGAACTACAACTCCCATCAGCTGCAGCAAGCACGGCCAATGGTCAAGGACGATGGGAGTTGTAGTTCACCATCACAGAATTGAAGAGTTGGAAGTGACCCCGAGGGTCATCTAGCCCAACCCTCTGCAATGTAGGAATTTCAACACACTGTGCCCCATCCAGCTTGAAACCATACCAGACCCTGCTTTGCTTTGCAAATGTGCTAGCAGTTTTACAAAGGATCCCCACATCTGCTTTAGCTGGAGCTCCTGTGGGATTGTTATACAGAGTAGGTAGGGATGGAGGAGAAATTCAGATTGGTTCACACTTTATTTTTGTAATTTTCACTTCCTGAAAAATATTTATGCATGAACTGAAACACAGCTACCTTTCAAAATTCACACTTCTCTGAATTTTGAGATGCAGTTCTCCAACTCAGAAATGTGTATATTGGGGGAAACCATGCAACATAATACATATATTAGTGAAATTAATGTACAAAAGTGCATTCAGGAAATTTGCTTAAAGAAAGATGCGTGTGTTTGGTAAACTTGCGTACAAAAATGCATATTTTAGAAGCAATGTACACCAAAATGTTGGCACATTTTCATGAGGACTTTTGTTTTGTTTTTTAAAAAAATGCAAACTGATGTAGAAATATGGAAGAACTGGATTTAAGACTGGAAGAACAAGGAACGAAAAGAAATTGATGTTGACAGATTTGTTCATCTGTAATACTTTTGCTGGGAAAACAAGACAGAGAAGAAAGAGTTTGCACCCTCTCCCTCATACCACATGCCTGATCTGGGTTATTATTGTTATTTTGGGGGGTTTGGACACAGCTTATTTTTGTGTAGGAAAAAGAGGAGACAGTTGTAAGCATGCCCTTTTAAGCATGCACTTAACAGAACTCTTCACTGCATCCTGCTGGTGTTTCGAGTCTACTCATAGTCCGTCTTGCCAAAGTGAATGCTGTCATTCCACCCTGATTAGCTTCTCCGCCCCCATCAAAGGTGGTTACTGACTTGATTGCAAAGTTGTACGATAAGAGCCATGTTCTGACTCAACTGCAGTTGTTATTATAATCGGGTCTCTCCCCCCCACTAGAGATTAAACCGGCTGCTCGGCATCTCGCCAGTGCCGAACTCTTTAATGTGGTTGCCTGTACTGTGAGAAAAAGCCTAGAGCGAAGGAGGGAGAGGATTTTAGCAACAGCATCTCCACCGGTTCACTAGGGAGCAGTATTGGCGCATTAAAGCCAATCCTTTCCTGAAACTGCGAACATTTCCTTGGGTTCTGTGGGCTGACAGATTTGTGCTTATTATAATTTGGCACAGAGATCATTTGAATTAGGCTATCACAACAAATTATGCAAAGCCAGCATTTGCTTATTTTTCAGAAACTTGTTCTGGGTTTTTTTTCTTTTTGTGGGGCAAGGGGTTTCCGATAGGTTGCTCTTTCTTGCTTCCTGTTGGGAACATACAAGACCATTCTTGTATTTTGGAAATTTGTTCAACTTGCAGATGGATTTTTGTGTCCTTCTTTCCAATTCACACCAACCCCACTGGTTTTGTTCTTGAGACAGGTATGAGATTTTTTTTTTTAAAAAAACAAACCACTGAAGTTTTACTGAACTCTTCTCACAAAAAAAAGCAAGCAACGAAATTGCCTTAGTAACACCAAAAATAGGGCAGACAATGATTCAGCGCAGAAAATTCATTAGCATCCTGAAATTGCAGGTCTGGCTGAAACTATTGAGTCCAACCAAAAGGAAAGATGAGACTTTCAGAGGCTGGAGCATCTAATCTTTATTATGAGCATTAAACAATAAATTGAAACCACATCTCAGAGAACTTGCCTTTTGCTTCTTCCTCCCCTTGCTTCCTGGCAGTTTTGAGTCCACTTCTTACTAAGAGGCAGGCCTTTTTGCATACCAAGCATTGAAAGAGAGGTCACAAGACCCTTCATTTGATGTACAATTTCTAATCTAGCCATCAGGAGCAGCTCCAGCATCACACCTCTCTCTGCCAGAGTCTTATTCACCCCTTTCCTAAAGATAGCAAGCAGAGATGGGATGTAGTGTTCTGCAGATCCACAGTCTCCCCAGAAATGGCCGTGGGACACCCTGGCCCTTCCCCACTTGGAGCGCCACTGGTGGTGGATCAGCACTAGCTTCCAAGCTTTCCATGGCTGCCTTGGAGGGCTCTGACCCTGGGCCTTGTCCTCTGTATGCAGACCTCTCTTTCTGCCTGTCGAGAAGGAAACTTGCAGGATCCAACTCTCCCTCAGACATCTTTTCTGAGAACTTTGGCTCGTTATAATTAACAGAAGATGTTAACTATGATAACAGCCTTTTGCTCCTGTTCTGGATCAGGGCCAATAAACACTAATTAACTGTATGCCTTCGACAGGCACATGTTGGTTCACATCATCACAATTATTTCATTTGAAGAATAGAATTGTAGCGTTGGAAGGGGTCCCAAGGGTCATCTTGCCCAACCTTTTAGGAGAAGGAGAGCAAGCTGTGGTCTTGCTCTCTGTTGTTTTCTCATGCCTTAAAAACATGTCCCAGGAAGCCCTTCACCAGACCCTTTTGGGATTGTGTAAAAATATCTTTCTGACATTTTCCCTTTTGCCTTTCTTTTACTCTATTCCAAACTTAAAAATGGAAAGCGTAATGCTGGTGGTCAACAAAAGAGATTGAAAGACTCTCTCAAGGCAAATCTAAAAAAATGTTGTATGAATACCGACAACTGGGAAACACTGGCCTGCGAGCGCTCCAGTTGCAGAACAGCCTTTACCAAAGGTGTGATGGGCTTTGAAGACGCTTGAACTCAGGACGCAAGGGAGAAATGTGCTAAGAGGAAGGCACGCCTGGCAAATCCACACCGTGATCAGCTCCTGCCCAAAAACCTATGTCCCCACTGTGGAAGGACGTGTGGATCCAGACTTGGCCTCCACAGTCACTTACGGACTCACTGTTAAAACCGTGTTTATGGAAGACAATCTTACTCGGCTACAGGTGATCGCCAGAGAGAAAGGGCCACAGTTGGGTGTGACCTGTGTTGTAACAGTGGCTACCGGAAGCCCAGGATTTTTACAGATGACAGAACGGCTGCTTTGGCAATTGCTTTTGAGGAAGATGCTTCATTATAACTAAGCCAATGCATGCGAAATTGAAATGATCACATTTTCTCTTCCTACCTTCCCTTCTTCTGTTGTCTCCCTGGGTCTGTTTCAGATTCCAATCTCCATGTCTCTAGTCTTTGCAGAGTGCCACATAGCTAAGTGACACTTTATTGATACGTAAATGTAAAAGGAGCCTGCTAGGTCAGCGCAAAGGCCCATCTAGCCCACCATTCTCTTCCTACAGATGCCTGTGGGAAACCCACAAGCAAGACCCAAGCACGAGAGCACTCTCTTCTCCTGTGGCAACTGGCATTCAGAAGCAACTGTAGAGGTACGTAGAGCATCACCCTCATGACCAGTAGCCATTGATGTGGAGGCATCTATGTGCTGCATATGCTACTAAGCCAAGCAGCAACGTCAATGCCATTTGGTGAAACGAGTAACATGGAAATTTGCACTACAGGCTTGGCTGCTCAATAGTATTTTGTATTGGAATTAGGTCATGGTGGATGGGGTTGCCATGCATATGCTGGCATTTGTCACTGTGAACACCATGCAGTGTGAAGCGTTAGTCTCCATGACTCCCCCGTTGCAGAGACGGCTCTCCCGTTCACTCTTTGCAGCAATTACATGGTGCACAAGTAACAGCTGTAGAGACTCTGCAAAGCTTCCGCTTGGCTTGGAAAGTGTTCGTGATTTAAGTATGCAGTGTTACAGGATGTTTTAGATCAGGGGTCAGCAAACTTTTTAGCAGGGGGCTGGTCCACTGTCCCTCAGACCTTGTGGGGGGCCGGATTATATTTTTGGGGAAAAATATGAACAAATTCCTATGCCCCACAAATAACCCAGAGATGCATTTTTAATAAAAGCACACATGCTACTCATGTAAAAACACACTGATTCCTGGACCGTCCGCGGGCCGGATTTAGAAGGCGATTGGGCCAGATCCGGCCCCGGGCCTTAGTTTGCCTACCCATGTTTTAGATGTCTGCTTCTACTTTTACTAAAATGGCCTGTCCACTCCATACCAGTACTGAACATGCTCAAGTGCACAAATGGGCTTGTGGGTGTGCTACTTGTCAAAATATCTGCCACCTGTTCAGTTCTCCCTGAATTTAAATACTCAATGGATCCTGTGTCTTGGGCCAAACATAGCTAAGGATTTAAAGGAATTAGTAAGTATCTGTTGACACCACAGGGCCAAACTACACACTATTTCAATCACATGGTTTGCTCTTAAATGTAATATTTTCCTTATTACCAATACTAGGCATGAGGCTTTAATCCAGATTGGGACTCTGTCATGGGGTTAAGGGGACTTTAATTCTTTGCAACTTCCACTGTGATCTTGATCCTTTGGTGTTACAAGAGAAAGGAAAAACCCTGCACTTAAGGGCTAGCCTCCTGCTTAATGTTAATTAGTTTGGTGTTAATAGTGATCAGAGAGAACTATTGCTTGGGCAAGGAGGAAGGGTTGCCTCTCTCATGGTGGCTGTGCAGAGCTCATCTCTATGCTTGCATGTGCTTGTTTGTAGATAAAATTAATGCACACTATTAAAACACTGAGCTTCTTACTGCCCTTCATGACTTCAGTAAGAGAATGTTGGAACCGCGTGAAACTAGGTATGGTATGCAAACAGTAAAAAAAGGTTTATTGAACTACCACAGCTAAAAGAAATCAAGATTTCAGAATGCGCTTTGATGACTTGTTTTAAAAAAGAGAGGAAAGAAGTGAGGGACTTCTAGAAAGAGGCTTTTCTAAAGAAGAAATGATTTCTCTTGAAGGCTTCCTTTCTTGCTGCTCTGCCATGACATGGGAAAAAGGGATTCTTGATGGTTATTTAGTTGGCTTCTCTTCGACTGATTTGACCTGGGACGAAACGACTCTGCCATCAACCATTTCTTCCACAATCGTCTTAACCATTCTTGTTTTTGTCGACTCTGGATTTTTTTTTTTTAAAGAAAGAAAGCAAAATTAAAACATAGTGTTTGAACAAGGCTTCATAGCAGGTCCTTGACGTGCTTTGCATGATTGCTTTTCACGCTCCTATTTTTATACAAGCAGATAATCATCAAGCACCCAAGATAGGGCCTGACTTTGCATCCTCAACTGGGAAAACTGGGTTGCTGCCAATTCCCTAGAATGTGGGTTGATGGGAGTGAATTTGAGGTGCAAGACGACCTTCCCTACCCACCCATTTTCTGTTCCCCAAATTGCTTCTCCACAACTGTCTTTCTCCTTGCAGGCTCTTGGTGGGGGGAAGTTGACCTCCTGCCACCGGTGTCACTGCAGCTTACATGGAGGGATGGAGCAGGGTTGGGCTGTGTGGTTGAAGCCACGTGGACACACCTGTAGGAGCACCAGATCGGAACAATGCAGCCCTGAACTAGCTTTTGCACTGCCTGAACCCCATCTAGGTAAGCGGCAGCAACATTGGCGTCAGCAGGGAGGCTCCAAGACTAGGTAACTGATGGACACTGTCACACATCAACAGGGAAGTGGGGCTATGCCTGTGGCCACCTCCCTCCTGCTACACCCAGGTTGCATGGCCCTCCCTGACAGCCACATGTTTTGCCATTGTGGTCTATGGTTACTGCTGACCATAGATGTCCCCCATGTGACATTGGCTTGGGCTGTGGACACAGAGTTGAAGAAAAGATGGACCCACAAGAAAGGGCTGTAGTTCACCTGCTTTGCTAAGAGCGAACTGGAAAAGCCTTGCATAGTTTGGGGGACTAAGAGAGGCGATGTATTGTTGAAATGTGGGAAAGAGTCAGGCAAGGAAATTTGGGACACAAGGGGGGAAACGGGCAGGGAAAGAGGGGGTGCTTTTATGCATCGGTGAGAAGTTTGCAGTCAGATCTTCAGCTGTGCATTTTTAATGTATATAAAGATATCTGTCATTACCTTTGCCAGAGCCTCCGTAACTCATAGAACTACTGTGGCTCGAAGATCCGTAAGACCCAAAACCACTGTCAAGGAAAAAAATGTAAGTTTTTTTTAGTGGTATACTGTGCATCATTTTTCAGAGAGAATGTAAACATGACCACCAATTTATTACAGTCAGATAATATAATGTGATGATAATCAGCTCCAGGGGTGCCAACTTGAATAAAATATGGGGGGGGGCAGGAGAGTCCCGTCCTGCATAATCAATCATGATATGTGGGGGGCACACACCATTTGAATGGCAATACCCATCAATTTGGTGGCCCCTCGAATATTTTAGGGGGGCCGTGAAGGGACCTTGACTCCTAGGAGTTGGCTTCTATAATCAGCTCAGATGCGTAATGGAGATCATTTCTTTTTATAGCCCTAAGCAGATGAGAATCAGTACGTGGAGGGAGGATTGGAATGGGCTGGCACTGTCTTCAATGCACTGTGTATGTGGGTTCTGTGCAGACCAGCCCTCCCATTCAACTCATGGAGCTTGAAGGGTGGGGCCAGTAGGTGCGATCCAGATTCCAACCCCGCACATTGATTCTACCAAATATGGAAAGTCGGTGTGCGAATTTTGACCAACGTAGGTCTTCCTCTGCATTTTGCACAGGCAGATATTTAGAATCACCTCCAGCTCTGCAAGCTTTCTAAATACAAGTGCAATCTGGTCTAATTTAACAAATGGCAGGTTTCCCATTCAGTACAGTAGAAGTGAATGCATCCATATTATGCAAATTGCTATTGTGAAGCTACTGTCCTTTGGTCAGATCTACAGGGCCTCATAATTGGTTCTGAGTCAGATCTGGCTATCTGTCATGTCTAACGCTTACCCCCCTTCTCCGTCCAGTAGGCGGCGGTAGGTCTCTATCTCCTTCTCCAGGCGTGTCTTGATGCCTAACAGCTGCTGGTATTCTGCATTCTGGTTCTCCATCTCAGCCCGAATCTGCAGAAGCTGTTCCTCTAAGCCAGCAATCTGACCCTGTAATTGCGCAAGCTGGTCGCAGTAATTTCGTTCTGTTTCCGCCAAAGTGCCTTCCAGGGATTGTTTCTGTTCCGAAGGTGCAGAGGAAGGAAGAAAGAAAAGGGCATAAAAATGCAGCAGAATTAACAGAGATGAAGTTCCAGTAAAGAAAATGATTATTCTAAACACTCCCATGTGTTTGAATCCAATAAATGGGTTGAATCCAATAAATAGCATAATGTTATATCCACCAAAGTCATTGGGGAAGCGGAATGACGTCTGTTTGTGTGGTGGAATTTCTGCTATCTCTTCTCCTGCATTGCCCCCCTGCAAACTCTGCTCTGGAGGGTTGGGGACACCCCCAGAACAGATTGGGAGGATGTGCAGGGTGAAAATATGGCGAGGAAAGGGAGGGGAAGTTCTGTTGTGCAAACGGAAGTCCTTCCACTCACACAGTGACTTCCACTTGAAACAGCCCTGTGAGAACTCTGCTTCTTTGGAATGATTCAAAAGCCAAGAGAAGAAGAAGAGTTTGGATTTGATATCTCTCTTTATCACTACCCTAAGGAGTCTCAAAGTGGCTAACATTTTCCTTTCCCTTCCTCCCCCACAACAAACACTCTGTGAGGTGAGTGGGGCTGAGAGACGTCAGAGAAGTGTGACTAGCCCAAGGTCACCCAGCAGCTGCATGTGGAGGAGCGGGGAAGCAAACCCAGTTCACCAGATTACAAGTCTACCGCTCTTAACCACTACACCACACTGTTTGCTTTGTGCTTCTGTATCTTTTTAACACAGGCCAGCAGATTTATAAGACTAACACAGCAACCCCAGACACATTTGCTCAGAGGTAGATCCCATTAGGTTCAATGGGGCTTATTCTCACATAAATGGGTATAGGATGGAATTCTAAGTAAACTGCAGACATAACCCAAATTATGTGCCCCCCCTTCTTGCATCTAGATTACATTTCCTGCAGACATTGCGCAAAGCACCCCAAATGCAATGGCAAGAAAACATCTAAGTGGCTTACAAAAAGATGAAATAAAACATTGAAATTCTTGATAAAAACTGCTAACCCCCCCCCAAGTATTTTAAAACTTTTAAAAGTTGTTTGAAACCAACAACAGCTAGACAGAGATAAAACACATGTAACTTCTACATGTCTGGATAGCTTTGCCTAAGCATAGTCACAGAAAGAATACAGAGAAGACACCTGTCTGGCGTCAATAGGCAGGGAGTTCCAAAGTTCCACACTAAAAGATCAATTTCTTACCACTGTGGAATGGGTATTATATGTGGCACCTGTAACCGTGTCAGTTCTGCAGATTGAAGCGACTGAGTGGGCATATATGCTGCTAAGGGCTAAAACCTTGAACTTGGCCAGGTAGCAGATGGACAACCAGTCCAGACCTCTGAGCAGAGGCGTCACTATGCAGACAGGGTCTCCCTGCTGAGAGCCAGTGCGGTGTAGTGGTTAAGAGTGGTGGACTCGTAATCTGGTGAACTGGATTCGCTTCCCCGCTCCTCCACATGCAGCTGCTGGGTGACCTTGGGCTAGTCACACTTCTCTGAAGTCTCTCAGCCTCACTCACCTCACACAGTGTTTGTTGTGGGGGAGGGAAGGGAAAGGAGATTGTTAGCTGCTTTGAGACTCCTTAAGGGGAGTGAAATGCGGGATATCAGGTTCAAACTCTTCTGCTGTTGGCAACTGTGCTGCAGCATTCTGAGCCAGGTGACTTCTCTGACGAACGTTCTCCTTTTCCTCCTACACATGTTGACATGATGATGGCTCATTATTGCTTTGGGATGGCTCAATATATGGATCAGCTCAGCAGGAGTGCTGAAATACCATTCCAGTATTTGCCGGAAGGCTTGCAAAACAAGCTACGGTGCCAAACGGTGGCGTCTCTCACTACATGGGAATTGGCACGCCCGGTTCTAAAGAACACAACACAATATTTCAGAGGTGCGGTGGATGGGGAAAACAGGGGGAATGCAGCTTTGGGACTCCCCCCACCCCCAGCAGGAGCGATAATGTCACTCGCTGGAATGCCATGAAAATTTATAGGCTCCACCCCCTTGCAAAGTGATAATGAGAGTCTGGATAATAGTAGCATATAGATGGATGAGGAAAAGAGTCCGACTGCTTCTTCTCTTAGATGGGATTCCGAATTCCCGCAAACGATGACGCTTTTTGCAGGATTGCTTGCGTTTCTAACGGAAAGCGAAAGCTTGCAGTTCAGTTTTGTTGCAGTTCAAGTTGAAATCATTCTTTGGGCATCTATTCTGTGCCTATCAAGCGACTCCAGTAAACTGAGCATTATAATGTACTGCTGTGTTCTAGGAGGGGGGAGTGTAGGTACATCCATGGACTCTTTGGGTCCCTTCCAACTCTATGATCCTATGACTTACCTCCTTACCACGGGAGAGATCTTGAAAGCAGCTTAATGTACACAGCTGTAGCACAAACCCTCTGAAAGAACTCCTCCTGCTGCTGTGATCCACTTACCATGGCAAGCTGAGCCTGCAGTTCCAGTTCCAGGCCTTGCAGCGTGCGCCTCAGATCTGTAACTTCACTCTTGCCCGTGCTCAGCTGGTCCACGTTGGCCGATATCTCCTGCCTCAGAGCTCCAACCTGGAGGACCAAGGAGAAGAAGTATTAAGTGGGCTCGATAACCGGGCCATCGCCTAAGGTTTTAGGCGGAGTTCAGAACCATCCTTGCCTGCTTGTTGAACTGCTCTTCTGCCTCTCTCCTGTTCTTGTCCGCGAGCTCCTCATACTGGGATCTCATCTCGTTCAGTAGCTTGGTCAGGTCAATTCCGGGAGCGGCGTCCATTTCGACATTGACGTCTCCGCTGGTTACCCCTCGGAAGCTCATCAGTTCCTGCAAGAGAAGCCCAGTGGGTTTTTAGCAGCATGTAGCATGAGCCAGACCATGAAAAGGCAACAATCCCTGGTGACGGAATAGTATCCTCCACCACAGTGGAGGCAGCAGGCTAGTTTAGCAGAACAGGTCATGTGCATCCACAGCTCTGCCATCTAACAGAGGTGAATGGCTCAGAGGAACAACAGGGGTAGGGACGCTGCTGCTATTCACCCCACAAGTTGCCTCACTCTGCCTAACTGTAGGGCTGGCTCTGAAAGTAGGGTTGACATATTCCCAAAAGTTGAGCTTTTGGGGGGAACATGTAAAATTTTTGGATTTTTAAAGCATTTTTCTTAAAAAATCACCCTAGTTGCCATACGTTCGGGTTTTCCTGGATATTTTGCCAATTTGGCAAAAATCCACCCAGACACCATTTTGACAGTCCAATTCCCAGATGTGTCTGGGAAAACCTGGACGCATGGCAGCCATACCCTGAAAGCAAACAAACTTTCCCATATGGTAGCAGTCTGAGACCACTTTTAATGCATTCTGAATTGTCTCTGTCTCAGTGTGAGCTCATTTGACCGCTAGGTGGCAGATGCACCTGAGATTTTGGAATTTTCCTTGTCTTAAAAATATAAATATTAGGAGAGCCTTTCCCCAACTCCCTTTGGTAAATCCGGTCAGCACTGCATATATTTCTAACCACTTCGAAGCAATGCATTTGTTTATTTTAATGTTATTTTGCCATCTTCACTAATAATACAGTGCAGTTTCTCTAAAAGCAAGATTTCAAAATAAGAAGGCATCCTTCTTCCCTTTAGATGAACAGCTTCTTGCTCTGTCTCTCTGTTTTCCTTTCGCCACTGATCTGCCCCACACATCATGCCTGGGTTGAGTGAGATATGCGTTGTCAGCCCTGTTTCTCCCATATGACTTGGTGAGGCTAAAACTATTTGCTTCCAGGGTTGGGGTGTCAGAGAATTCCAATGAAAACAGAACTGGGAGTGTAAATGGCCAATGTTCTCTTACTTGTTGGAAATCCATCTATCATATGGAATTGATTACGCCCAATTTGCATAGTTTTTCCTTTGCATTGAAATGAACATGGTGGGATAACACAATGACAATGCAATTTATGTCCATTAATAATCCCGCCATGGTGGATCAGGAGATGAATAATGTAGTTTGGGGTGGAAGATGAACTGCAGCAGAAAGGAAACAGTGCTGTGTGCGACAAATGCAAGGTGGAATTGGGAATGATGCCTTCTTACACCCCTATCCAAGGCTAAAAGTGCATCTCTCCTTCTTGCTACCATGCGGCACAGCAGTTTAAGAGGCATGTTTCTATCTACCTCTTCATGATTCTTCTTGAGGTAGGCAAGCTCCTCATTCAAGCCTTCGATCTGCAACTCGAGGTCGGACCTAGTCATGGTCAAGTCATCCAGGACTCTCCTCAGGCCATTGATGTCGCTCTCCACACTCTGGTGCAGGAACAATTCGTTCTCATACCTTCAAAGATAACGTAAGAATGAGATTTCAGAATTGTGGCAATTTATGGTTTCTTGCTTCCTGCTGGCCTTCAAAAAGCTGGGAATGAGGCAGGAGCAAGGTGTACAACAGAGGTGCTGGTGTTTCTGTTTCCTTCCTTTCCCTTGCCCAGAATTTGATGCTTACTTAAGTTTGAAATCATCAGCAGCCAGCCGAGCATTGTCGATTTGCAGAACGACCCCAGCATTCTCAATGGTGTGTCTAACAATCTGTAAGGAACACACAGGAAAGATAGCTGCAGTACTTTTTAGGGAAAACAACCAAACATCACCACCATCCCTAGTTCCTCTTCTTGGACACTTTACACCAAGGTCATAGAGTGGAGTGGCACAGACATTTCTTTTCAAACCATTTTTAGAAAGGAAATTGGGAGGAGAAGGAAGAGGAGTCACAAAAGGTAACCTGAAGAATGCAACAATAGTCCTGTGGGATGAGACCAAAGACTCATCTAGTTTAGTCTTCTGTTCCTACAGTGGTTATCCAGCTGCCTCTGGAAGCCCAATAGCGGGACATGAGAGCAACAACACTCTCCCTACCCCAGATACCAACACACAGAGGCACACAGCCTTTGCAAGTACAGGCAATGACTATAGACCTTTCATGAAAATTCACCATTGATAGCCTTATTCTCCATGAATTTCTCCAACCCCTATTTAATACCATCCCCGTCAGCAACACTTGCCACATATTGCGATAGCAAATCCTGTTCTTTAGCAGTGTGTTGTACAGAGGAATTCTTTCTCTGTTCCTGAATCCCTCACCATTCAGCTTCCAGGTCCTGGTATTATAAAAGTGGTGATGGTGGAGGGGGGAAGTCTTCCTATCCACTTTCAATTCATCATGTGTAATTTGATGCATTCTGCCATTTCCCCCTTTTTAGGGATGGGGGAAGAAACTGGACTGAGTCCACATTTAAAGGCAAATCCACCAAATTTGCACTTTCCAAGGCAGGATGCAAACTGAAACACAGCCGTCCTTCAAACTTTGCACTTAATTGAATTTTTCAGTGCGGTTCTCCAGCCATGTGATGTGCACGAAAATGCATAGAGTAGGGAAAAGCATGATGAAAAATGCACACATTCGTTAAAATCACGTAGAAATGCATTATATCAGGGGAAATCATTTTGTAGGGAAGTGTATATTAGGCAAAATCCGCACAAAGATGCTGATGAATTTCATGATAATCGGTTACTACTCGCTTAATTTCTTTGCAAATTTAATTACGTGATAGGAGGGGTGTGGACAGTGACGCATATCCAGAGATCAAGGCTCTGCCGAGAAGGGTATTAAGATCTTGCCAGTAAAGCACATGTAACGTTCAGATGCCTAAGGGGGAAAATTCACCAATGAAATATTGCAGACTATGAGAAATATTGCAGACTATGCTCCCTCTGAGACTGAATGGGGAGGAGCCATAGCTCAGTGGGTAGAGCAATCTGCTCTGCATGCAGACAGTCCCAGGTTCAATTCCCTGCATCTCCAGGTAGGGCTGCTGGGAATGTTCTCTGGCTAAAAACCTGGAAAGCTGCTGCCAGCCAGTGTAGACAATGCTGAGGTCAATGGATGAAATCATTATAAGGCAGCTTTCTATTTTCCTATATTCTGAACACTCAGGGGCTGTTGAAACATTTACGAACTGGCTGTTAGGTATTCCAAAGCGCAATAAATTCGAACTTAATTATGGAACACAGAAAGTTGTTCTCAGTGGACCAAACTTTGCATAAGTGCCCCGATCACTTACTTGGTTCCGAAGATCTTCGATGATGCTAAAATATTTGCTGTAGTCTCGGCTGGTGTCCGGAGTGCTGTACTTTGCGTACCATTCCTTGATCTTGCGCTCAAGCTCTGTGTTGGCCTCCTCCAGAGCGTGGACTTTGCCCAGGTAGTTCGCCAGGCGGTCGTTGAGATTCTGCATGGTCTGCTTCTCATCCCCACTCAGGAGACCCCCATCCCCTCCCCCAAAGCCGCCGCCCATGCCGCCCATGCTGCTCACAAAGCCGGTCGAAAAGCCACCGCCGCCGCCGCCAAGGCTGCCCCCGAAACCGCCACCCAAGCCCCCTCCGTACCCACCACCCAGACCTGCACCCAAGCCCATTCCATACCCTCCACTCAGGCTTCCTCCTCCGTAACCACCTCCTCCGTAACCACCTGCTGAGTAACCTCCGGCAAATTTGGAGCCACCGCTAAACCCTATGCCGCTAGACAGTCTGACAGACCCCCCGCCGCCCCCGCCACCAACACTGTACGAGGAGAGCTGCCGGGAAGAGCCAGTGTGGACAGAGAGAGCCATGGTGCTTGAGCAAGAGGAAGGTTCTGTCCCGTCAAACAAGCAAGGCAAGCGGATTAGAAAGAGTGCGTTGAGTTGGTGGGCTTTTAAGGCTTATATGCTGTGTTAGCTGTGTGTTTCCGCCCCGTCCTGGCACAGCGCATCCTTTTGCCAAGTCAATGCCTTCATAATTAGATAATTGTTCTGTCTAATTAAAAAAAAATGTTACCAGGTCCAACTCTGCAGAAATGTGTATCCTTGGGTTATTATATTATGCCAGAATCCCAGATGGAATGGAGCCAAAACATGTTTTGCTTTCCTTTTTATCTTTGAAATTGTGATGAGCAAACCCTTTTTCGGCTTTTTCTCTCCACCTCCTCTTTCTCTTTTAAGTTTGGTTATTATATTGCGTTCTGTTCAACATTTCAAGCCCCCAGGCAAAATCTCTCTCAACTGAAAGAGGACGCCAAGCGAAGCGACATGTATAAACGAAACAAGCACTAAACTCTTAAATTTGGGAGGATTCTTTTGTATACTGTTTTAATCTAGTAGAAAAACGGATCTCAGATAGCTTGTCACGCTTTGGTTCAAAGTTGCCAATTGCTTGATTTATTAATTGCTTCTTGGATTATTGTTTTTTTTAATAAAAAAACCCCCACTTTGATCTGAGAACTTAATTTGTTATATAGCCTGTCTTTGCAAGTCCCAGGAGATGATTGGATTTATAAATTCACACTAGCAAGCTCAAGAATTTCTCTTTAATCTGTGATTAAGAAGAGGGCAAGTCAATTCACATATGGATCATCAGGGTTCCAATAATGATTTAGTAGCATTTCTTTGAGAACACCATTCATATAAAAGAACAAAGCAATCAAATTCCCTCTTTTGCATCTCTTTGGCTTTTAAAACGTTCAATCCCCCAGTAAACATTATTCTTTTTGGTTCACCCTCTGATCCCAATGCACTTGGAATTGAACCGAACCCTATTGTTATTTTGCAAAACCTTCACTTTAATGCAGTTTTTCTCCTTTCCCCTAAACGTATTCTCTTGTGCATCAATAAATAATGATCGCATTGCTTAGTGGTTTGGATGGCATCTCCTAGTTGAACAATAATCGAGTGGTTTTCAAGGGTTTGCGGATATCTGTGCGACTGAGATATTTGCTCACATTTTGGGGGGCCAGAATCTGAGAGCTAGAAATGGCACTTTCTTATCACCCCCCCCCATTTGATAATGTGAAAATGGGCTGCACAAGGATCTTCGGCAGAAAGTACAACTGAGGGAAAGAAAGATGGCAAACTGAAACACGGCATCCTTTTAAATTCATACTTCTCTGAATTTTGCAATGCGGCACTCCAGCCAAGTAAATTGCATATAGTTGAGCACAGAAATGCATATATATTAGTAAACCCCCACCCCCACCACAAATGCATTATATTAGGGGAAATTGCTTTGCACAAATGTGTATATTGGGGGGGGGGATTCATACAAAGATGCTTATATTATGATAATTTGGCACTACAACGCTTACGAATTTTCATGAGGTCTTTTTTAAAAAAACGCAAACTGATGTCAAAAATGTAGAGAACTGAATGTAAGATTGCCAGAAAAGAGAAACTGAGAGAAATGGGATGATCTGGTCAAAGTCCAGCTCTACTTGCACCACTGTCAACCCGTATAGGGGAGTAACTTTACAAGTGCCATTGAAAGATATAAAATCTGTGCAATTCTATTTTCCCATTATTTCTTTTCAAAGCAGTTTGGGAACAAAGATACATATATTTGGATTCCTTTGCACTAAAACATTTTCCTTGAAAAAAAATATTGCAAAATGATGTGGGAAAGTGGAGAACCGTCCTTAAGATAGTAAAAATGAGAAACGGTGAGAAATTGACAGATTGGCCTATTTCTACCGGAGGGTGAGCAAGTGGCAACATCGGCAGGGTGAGTAGAAGCCACAGCAATCTAGTGCCTCTTTTGCTCTGGCCCATTCCTCTCCCTCAGCTGCAGGCCGAGGGCCATTGCCCAGGCAACCACAGTGAAATCAGCTGGCAGCATGCATCTTGAAGCCCAAATTGCAGTGTGGTGAGCCTGTGGCTCAAAACGTTTGCCACGAGTGCCCAGGTGGGCTGTGGCACGTTGAACTGCGATATGCGCTTGCGAAGAAGACATCTGGTTTGCCGTAAGCGCTGTTCTGTCAAGGGAACGAACGGATATTTGTGAGCCTGCAAGATAAGATGATTTGCTCCGCTGTGATTTGTGTACACCTCTCGAGTTACGCTGCTGATGAAGGCTAGCAAGTCAAAACACATCTAGTTATTGAGAAGAGGCTTCTCCCTCCTCCCTTCTTCTGGATAAACATCCTGGAGATGATGAGAGAGCTGTGTGCTGATCAGTGCACCTACATGTGTTTGCAAAACGATAAGCGTGTGCACCCGTAAAGATTTGAGACGACAGCCTTTAATCTGCTTCAGTCCTAATGACATGTAACAATCGCATCTCGGTGTTTAACAGCTGCTCCTCATTTTAATGATGCCTTAATAGCATGTCGTGAATCTGAATAAAGCTGTTTTCTCCATTTATAACAAATTCGCACTGCTCAGTACAAGAAGGGCACCTGCCTGCGTTCAGTGTGAATCAGCCCCAGGGCACTTCCGCAGAGATCGTTGATTGCTGGGAAGTGTGTGTGTGTGTGGGGAGCTCACTTGGATTACGAAAAGCTGCAGTGGGGAAAAGCAATACCTTGGATCCTGAGTGCCTTGGTAATTGGATGTTTGGCTCCCAAACACTGCAAACCCAGAAGTGATTGTTCCAGTTTGCAAACGTTCTTTGGAACCCGAATGTCCAACGGGGCTTCCACGGCTTCCGATTGGCTGCAGGAGGTTCTTGCAGCCAATTGGAAGCCGTGCTTTGGTTTCCGAACGTTTTGAAAGTTGAATGGACTTCCAGAATGGATTCCATTCGACTTCCAGCGTACGACTGTACTGGTGCACTGGAAGGGGGCAGTGGAGCTCTTGCAGTGAGGCCAGGGCCTGTGCCTCTCTAAATATTCTTCCGTCAGGTGCCACTGAGGGTCTGGATTACCCAATAAATTTGCAATGCTGTAAGCAGAGGCATTATGCTTGATGACAAACTCACCCACAACCCTAAGTCCTGGCACAGAGGCTGTTGCAGCAGACCTGCATCCTGCCTTAGTGTGACTAGTTCTCCCAGGGAGAGAAAAAAACCCACACCATTTGCATCCCACAAAATCAAGTTTTGAAATACCTTTATATAAGAAGAATCAAGGAAAAGTAGCAGCAGGAGTAGAAGTTGTAATTAACTTTAGAGAAGCGAACCTTTTTATTGTAAGAGAATTCTAAGGAGAGCAATGAGAATATCTAAACAGATTGCTAATTAAGGAAAGGAAATATTTTCGTTGGCTTCTCAGTACGTTGGCACATTAATGTGAAAGATGACACTTATTCTTCTTGCGCTGCAACATTTCCAGAAGCAGGAAACTGTTTCTGAATAAAATCTTGATGTTTATATAACCGTGCTTTCTTTAACAGACTGAACCTTGGAGGAAGTTACTCGCCCGTGCTCGTCTAATTCCTCAATGATGGTTTTGATCACTCTCGTTTTCTTTGATTCTGAAGGCGGAACAGACAAAAGAAAGAACAAGTGACTGAAATGCCCGTGCCAAACGTTCTTTGGGACAGAATTTTTAATAGAATGGTATCTACCTGAATGACAAAGCCCCATCATCTGAGCATTTACCTGCGTGCATGCATATATACACCATTTAATTTGTATGCTGCCTTTCTGTCGTTCAAAGTTCAAGGCAGTTTACAATTTGAAAAAACTACTGAATTGCAACATAGCAAAAGGAGTCATAAAAAATAAAATAAATTCACAAGCAAATTGAACAATTTCCACATGAATAATAATAAGATATAAAATAAAGATCTAAAAAATAATGTCAATAACAGCAGCAACCGTCTTCCATAAAACTCCCTGAGCAACCCCCCAGCCCAAGAGTCTGTTCAGCAGCCTCAGCTTTTGTAGCTGGAGTCAGTCCGGGCCCCACCCTCCCAGGCCAGGTGGAAAAAGTCCTGCAAGGCAGGAAGCAACTCTTCCAGGACTCACAACCAAGCAGGCTGAGCACCTTTCTGGTGCAACATTTAGTACTTATTCGGCGTCTTTTCCCACTCGATTTCTTTAGCGATTACAAATGCAAGAGTTACGCTGGCATGCATCTGTTCCTAAATTTGGAGAAGTGAAAATTTCGAAAGACAGGTGCATTTCAATTAAGATGTTAGTTAGGAAAGAGCAAATCAAGTGGGTTCATGTTAGATCTATAATTTAGCTGTAATAACTATTGAAATATTTAAAATGTATTAAAATGAGAAATCTTCATCCAACCCAGGAGGAGTCTATGAGCAAACCTGGAAGCTTTTGTTATTTCCAGACAGTTGCAGGCAGTGAGGGATGGGGGTTGGCACTTCTCTGACCTCCCATCGCCAGCATCTCTATGGCTTTGAAAGGGTGGGGCAAAGGGATGTGGAGGTCAGTGTGGTGCAAACACACTGGCAGAGCCAATCCAGCCCTTTCTGAAAAAATAAGTCTCAGTTGTCTGTGGGCCATGTAACCTGCACTCCGGAATTCTGTTCATAGATGAGGTACATAGATACCATATTTTTCGCTCTATAAGACGCACCAGACCATAAGACGCACCTAGTTTTTGGAGGAGGAAAACAAGAAAAAAAATATTCTGAATCTCAGAAGCCAGAACAACAAGAGGGATCGCTGTGCAGCGAAAGCAGCGATCCCTCTTGCTGTTCTGGCTTCTGGGATAGCTGCGCAGTCTGCATTCACTCCATAAGACGCACACACATTTCCCCTTACTTTTTAGGAGGGAAAAAGTGACTCTTATAGAGCAAAAAATAACGGTAATTGCTTCTAACCCGAGAATTCTTTGCATTGATGAAATGGAAGGGGGAGAAAAAATGTACTGAGTGTGGGATGTTAAATTGGTCTTAGTCCCCAACCTATTAATAACATAGAAAGACACCCCCAAAATGATGCTTACCTTTTTCTCTGGATGCAGAATGCGTGTTCCCACCTGCAGTTCCTCTGCCACTGGTGTCTGTGCCAGATCCAGTGCCTCTTGCAGCAGATTCTGAGCCTCTTAATCCTGCAGCTGTTGCAGACCCCACATTTTTTGACCCCAGATCTTTGCTACCTCCATGTCCAGATGCACTGCAATAGGCAATAGGTTTGTTTGTGTTACCCTTGCTTATTTATTTTATTCAATTTGTATACCGCTCTGCATCCAAAGATCACAAGGTCGGTTCACGATATAAAAATACAAAATGAGAACATTAAAAAAAACCAAACAAAAGTAAACAGTAGGTGAACAAAAACTTTTTTTGGGGGGAGTATACAGCACAAAGGTCTTTAACAAAGCAACACATTCAGAACAGGAGACCCAGAATCAAGTTCTGGGCCAGACCAGTGGCTCATTGCCACTGGCAATAGTTTATTTTCTAGCACAGATGTCCTTCCTTCTGTCCATCCTGAATCTTCCACCATTCCGTTTCATTGGCTGACACCCAGATTCTAGTACGTTTAACTATAATGGGGCTTGATGCCTTGACACACCAGGGGCAAGGGAGCCTGTGGACCTGCCAATGTTGTTAAACTGCAGTTCCCAGCATCCCTGAGCATTGTCCGTGCTGGCTGGGGATGATGGGAGTTGAAGTCCAACACTGCCTGGAGGTGGGCCACAGATCCCTCATTCCTTGTTTGCAAAGCAATTCTACTCAATGTGCTTTGCACATTCATGCCAGTTTAAGGAGCATCTGAAGTGCAGCCAATTTGTCCCACAGGAGATAATTCTACACCTTTTTGGATAGTAACCTGCTCCTTATTGTCAGTGGTTTATGGCAAGCCTGGGTTGCAAAGTCGATCCCTTTCTTGCCTGGTGGTTCTTTTTTTTGCTCCCTACCTTACTTCTCCATCGATCAGATGCCGGTAAGTCTCAATCTCATTCTCAAGGCGGATCTTGATATCCAGCAGCTGCCTGTAGTCTGCATTTTGGCATTCCATGTCCTCCCTGATTTGTTGTACTTGGGTCTCCACGTTGCCAATCAACCCTTGCATCTGGGAGATCTGGGCACAGTAGCGGCCTTCTGTCTCTGCCAAGGTGGCTTCCAGCGATTGCCTCTGAGAGGGAAAAGGGTGCCGTAACACAAACGTAACACATAGGGCATGTTTTAGGCCATCAGCATTTTGGAAGGTTGCTTCCAGACCCCAGAGTGTCCTGGGAGGATGACAACTGCTAAGGAATTCCAGGCTGTTTCAGACACATGCCCACGTCCCTAAGTCATTCTTAACTTGTGTACCTAATGAAATCTATCCACCAGATGTACCAATTCCACTAAGTTGCAAGAGCAATATTGCATTTGCATTGATTTGCATGCACTTTTTTTTTTAAAAAAAGAAGCTCTTAAGCTCTGCTTGTACGGACCCAGGGATGGTATCGTTTGAGTATCTAGATTTCAGTTACAGTTCTAAAGTGCTATGTTTGGTGTGCTCAAGGGCTTTTAAAATTTTGATCTGTTTCTCTTTGTGCAGCAGAATCCTGTTCCAAAATGCAAACCTGTATTTGAAACAACTCGGCTTCAAAAGTGCTTTGTTTTGTGGCACGATGGGCTGCTGAGAGCAAGTTACAAAGCTAAGAAAAGGCAGGCAAGGGCTGCCAATCTGGAATGGACTCGCAGTCTGCATTGGGGACCCTAGACCAGTCCCCCTGCCACAGTTATTTGTCCCCCAAGGTGCTCCTTGCAGTAGGGGAAGGGGCGGAGCTCATGCTTTACCTGTGGAGAGGCTCAGTGTCGATCCCTGCCATTTCTTGGTAGGGCTGGCCGAAACTCTTGTCTGAAAGGGAGCTGTGTAGACAATTCTGAGCAAGTTGGACCAATGTTCTGACTCAGTTTGAGGCAGTTTCCTATGTTCCTGTGAGTTTCAGCAATAAAGTGGCAAAGGGCCGCATCTGGCACAGGAACAAATTTTGAATTGGGACCCTGTGGCTTCTTCAGAATAAAAAAATTGGTCAGGTTTTTGGTGTTGTTTTTTTAAGTACAAACGATTTAACGTGTAGGCTGACCCTTTTGTGAATAACTCAAGCCCAAACCTGCAAATTGCACAAAGCTACCTGTGTGGTTCTTTGTATTTTGGCTGCTGTGCTCAAAAGGCCTTTGTTTCTAACACGTTGCCACCTGTCCTGAGCCCTTGGAAAGGAGGAGGCTCAAAATCAAATCCACTAAATAAATAATCTATAGGAGTTCGTGCTGTGCTGAAATCTTTCCTCCAAACGCATCTCGTGAGTTTTGTTCTTCTGCAAAAGAGGCTTCTGCTTTAATTCCTCATGCGCTTGGGAATTTCTTTTAAATTTCAGTCTTGAGCTTACCTTCTTGTTGTGAGGTGTATGCCGTTTCCCCCACATAAACATCGTTCAAACATTTCTCTAATGATTTGCAGCCTCCCTGGCTACCCATACTTCCTCAACTGACAAAGCCCCATTGGAGGAGTTCCTATTAAACTTTAATGGAAGTCCGGGCACCTGGGGAGGCTGCAGGGTGCAGACCACTGGTGAGACGATTTGTAGAATGAAATAAAAACTATTCACAAGCATCTTTCAGCCACTTCAAAAGTAAGGTAAGGAGATCAAACTCCCTGACTTCATTCACAAATCTATTGAGTTTTGGTTCCAATTTCTTTTCTCATTAACTGACAGAGGATGGAGGAGAAATTTTCAGCACTGCACTTATAGGAATCCCTGTAACCAGTGAGATGGCATTCAGGTCTTGCCATTCTTGGTACAACATGACTAAAATGGAGAGATCGCTAAGATTATTTGCCATTCAGAGAAAGCAAGCTGCTGCAGAATGAGACAACCCAATTGCTTATTGTCATAGCTAGCAGCTTGTAATGAAAAGAGAGGCAAATAAAGAATGACTGTTATTTCCAGGGACTCTTGATAACTTCTAACCAACTTAAGCCCTTTTCACTACTTGTGTATGTAAACAAATTATGAAGAGGGTTCAGGGGTTGTGTGTATCATCTGAACCCTAAACAGCAGTCAATCTTAACTACAGTTAGTGAAAACAAGCCAGTTTCATGAACTATTCTTTGAAGTTGACTTGTTTTCATTAACCACAATGAAGATTGCATAAAGGTCTAGGTTTGAATGAAACAGGAGTGAAAGCTTCAAAGGACACAAGGGTTTTTTTGGGGTGGAGAGCTAGGCTCATTCTCATAATGCTTAATGTGACTTAGCTTTGTTCCTGAACCAGCCTTGTAAGAGGGAGGTGTATATTTCAGGGAGATGTTTGTCTTAATCATTCAAACACGATTATGTTATCTGGCAGAGATCTCTTCCCCATACCAAAGCAAGTTGAGATGTCAGGTCTATCTCCAAAGCCTGAAGGGTGCGTTTCAAATCTGTGATCTCATTCTTGTTGGTGCTGGTCTCCTTGGCACTCACGTTGATCATCACGTTCAGTTCCTTACTCTGCAATAATTCAATAACAGCATTTGAGCGGTATAGTATTCAAATGACAGAAATGTGGTTGGAGCAATTGATTTTGTTTTCCAGAAACTTAGCAGCTCTACCCCGCCATTTGTAAAATGAGAGCTCCGGGTATAACGGACACCAGTAACAGAAAGCATAAGAGTAGGGCACTCTGTACATGTTCAGTGCATCTTATACACCCTTCAACTTCTCCAGGTTTCTTCTGCAGAATTTGGAGTTTTACAGGGAAGGACAAATGCTGCGTTTAAAGGGCAATGGGGGGAATGAGCAGTCAGGGAACCATGGAGAGACACACACTTGCGAAACCTGCAGAAGTCTCTTGTTCTGTTATCCCTGGAACCACTGCGCAGTGGTAATCTGCTGTCTTATTTTAATGTGCACGTGTAAGCTGTTTCACAATCAAGGAAATGAGACGATTGGACTGGCAAATGTCATTTCATTTCATTTCTTTTTTAAAAAAACAGATTTGCTGGTAGATTGCTGGTTTTTAGACACATCCCTGCATTTTCGTTTACCTTTTCGGCGAACCAGGTTTCAGCATCCTTGCGATTCTGCTCTGCCAGAGCCTCATACTCTGCCCTCATCTTGTTCAAGAGGGTAGTTAGGTCAATTCCTGGGGCAGCATTCATTTCAACGTTGACGTTCCCGGAGGTCGTGCCTTGCAAACTTTTCATTTCCTACATGAAGAAAGAAAGGGAAGAAGGAAAGAGAAAGGGACAAACAAACAAAACGCCTCAGGACCATAACTCAGTTGGTACATTTGTGAACATAAGAATTGCACTGGATCAGAGTCCCAGCCTGTCCATGGAAAGCCCACAAGCAGAACTTGTGCATTTCCCTTCTCTTGTATCTGCATTTTCCTTCTCTCATATCTACCGTATTTTTTGCTCTATACGACTCACTTTTTCCCTCCTAAAAAGTAAGGGGAAATCTTCTGGAGCGAATGCAGGCTGCGCAGCTATCACAGAAGCCAGAACAGCAAGAGGCATTGCTGCTTTCACTGTGCAGCGATCCCTCTTGCTGTTTTGGCTTCTGAGATTCAGAATATTTTTTTAATTGTTTTCCTCCTCCAAAAACTAGGTGCATCTTGTGGTCTGGTGCATCTTATAGAGCGAAAAATACGGTACTCCCTACCAACCAGTAATCAGAGGCACAATCTCTTGATCCTGGTTGTAATACATATCCACACTGATTGGTCATTTTCTGCATATTCACAGTGGCAACACATTGACTTCATTTACACATGCAGCATTTCTGCATCCCTAGAAACATGAATATTCATTGGCCAGTCGCTGCCTCTCTGCCTAACCTACTACTCCCCAGGCTTGTTGCAGGGATTAAATGAGGAGGAGGAGAACCATGTACACAACCTTGATCTCCTTGGAAGAAAGAAGGCGGGATATAAATGCAATCAATCCATCAATCAAGATAAGCTTGGCATTCGGGTTCCCGTAAACTTTCCCCATCCCTGGGAGTAAGTGAATACAGGCATACAGACAGGCAGTGAAAGCCAGCAGGGCGAAGGAATCACTGCCAGAAAAGCACCAGCTCAGAGGGGTAGGAATAGTAGGGGGCAGGGGGTGGGCTCAAAAGGAATAGGTTGGGGGCTGCCATCCCACCTGATCCTCTGCTGCTTGAGGGGGCTGCCTCATTCTGGTTAATGCAGTGGAGAACCTGTAACCCAGGGGTATGGAACTTGTGTCCCAAATCTGAGGAATTTGATCACCCTTCAGAAACGAGTTTTGCTAGCCTTATGCTTTCTCACACCTCCTGTAAGCTGCTGAGCTTTTGCTCAGTGAAGCACCTCTTGTTATCATTACTGTTATCAGCACTGAACATTCCCTAAATCCAACCATTTTGGATTGCTAACTAATCAAGTTGTACTAGGGGAGTTGCTAAATACGGAGAGGATTTGGGGCACTGGGGCAGGAAACAAATTTGCGTAGATCAGCATATGCAAACTGTATGCATGGATGCCTTTGGGCAACTTAAGATTAGTGGACTGCTGGGATCTTCCTGTGCTTTGAGGTGTGCCCGGCTGAGCTTTAACTTAGCAAAGTTCAAAACAAAACAAGTTCACGAAAAAGGGAGCAGGATGGAACAGGACACCTGGGGCTCAGTGCAAAAGTCCTGGAGCTCAGGAACCACCTAACAACACCTGGAGTTATGCTGTCAGTTGCTTGAGCAAGATGGCTGCCTTACCTCTTCATGGTTCTTCTTGAGGTAGGCCAGCTCTTCAGTCAGGGTCTCAATCTGCATTTCTAGGTCGCTCCTGGACAGAGTCAGTTCATCAAGGACTTTGCGCAGACCATTGATGTCTGCCTCAACGCTCTGGCGGAGGAACACCTCGTTTTCATATCTTTGAAGAGGAATTATTATTATTTCTTAAAGTGCTTAGCTTGCTCAAGTACTTAACTTTGGCTATTGCATTGGCTTGGCCAGTTATTTGATTGTCATTGTGTTGAGAAGCCTGAGACTCTGCTTATCAGGCTGTTTGTTTTGGTCATATTTACAAGTAAAATTAGGTACACAGTCTCCCCCCAAGCTGGAACCAGTGCTTTTTTCCTTAAAAAATGTTTAGGCGTACTCTCATTCTGTCTGAGACTCAGGAAACACCATGACAGGAAATGAGGCCACCATTGGGGGTAGCAACGGAACTGATGATTCACCGTGATAGAGAAGGAACTACCATATTTTTTGCTCTATAAGACTCACTTTTTCCCTCCTAAAAAGTAAGGGGAAATGTGTGTGCGTCTTATGGAGCGAATGCAGGCTGCGCAGCTATCACAGAAGCCAGAACAGCAAGAGGGATTGCTGCTTTCACTGCGCAGCGATCCCTCTTGCTGTTCTGGCTTCTGAGATTCAGAATTTTTTTTAATTGTTTTCCTCCTCCAAAAACTAGGTGCGTCTTGTGGACTGGTGTGTCTTATAGAGCGAAAAATACGGTAATTTAAAAAATATTTTTAGTTTCTTCTCCCATTAGATTCAGAAAATGTTTAGGGGTATGCGTGCCCCTGCGTCCCCCCAGAAAAAAAGCCGGAACTCTCTGGATCTCAGTTTCAGCACCCCTCAGGTGGCGCCATTGCCATGATAAGAGAACAAGGAAGGCGTTCATGGTGAGTTCCAGCACCTCTTTTTTTAAAAAAGAAAAATAGCACAGATACCCTGATTGGGTTCAAACTTACTTCATTTTGAAGTCATCTGCAGCCAGCCTGGCATTGTCTATCTGCAGGATAATGCTGGCGTTTGTGACGCTCGCAGCAATGATCTGCATTGGAGGGGGATATAGAAAAAGGAAGTAAAAAAAGCAAATCGTTTATATTATTTACACAAAAAGATTACATCCCTCTTTCCTCCCTCCAACAAAATCGCTCAAAGTGAGTAGAAAAATTCTAAAACAAACGTAAAGATTAAAAATAAGAGTAAATGCATCATTAAAACACATGAGGGGGCACTGGGCTGAGTTTTACTCTGAATTGACATGATCAAGGGCACAATCCTAAAGATGAATTTGTTTTATTTATTACATTCCCATCCCACCTTTCCTCTAGGAAGCTTAAGCTGGTTAACAGACTTCGCCTCCTCCCCATTTGATCCGCACAATAGCCCTGTGAGGTAGGTTAAGTTGAGAGACTTTGTGTGGCCCAGGGTCACTCTGTGAGCTTCATGGCTGAGTGGGGATTTGAACCCTGGTTTCCCAAGTCCTAGTCTAGCATTCTAACCATTACACCACACTGGCTCTCAATCACCTGGCCAGGCTATGTTGGTTTAACTACCTGATCCTGGCTGAGCCATAGATATGGCCTCTGTATCTCCCACATCCCAGTTTGGCCAGGACCCAGCTGCCTGAGCTGAGCCCAGTAGTCCTTCAGCTGGCCTAAACCCTGAACAAATGACATTCTGGGGTTGAGGTGAGGGTGAGACAGGAGGGGGACTTAGGCTGGATCCTAAGCATAGTCACGTGACCTGAGAACCTGGCCTACATTAACCTGGCAAATGGGGATATAAATCCAACTCTCTTCTAAGGGCTTGCTTTCATTGAGTCATAGAACTGTAGAGTTGGGATAAACCACGAGGGTCGAATCTTTTTGCTCAGCATGGGGCTTGAACCCACAACCATGAGACTAAGAGTCCTCATGCTCTATTAGCTGAGCTGCTTTACCTGCCAAGTTTAGGGCAGCTCAGCCAGCACAGGCCACTCCTGAATGGAGCTTGGATCTGGCGGACATTAACAGCTGCTTAACGTAAACCAGCTTAATTTACACTGGCTCCCATCCTTGGGTCCATTCAGTCCAATGGGTCTGCTGTGAGTGGAGAGAAGCCATAAAAAGCAAAAGTAGCCTGTTGATCTATAAGAGAATACCCTCCCCCTTCATAAATCTCACAGCCAGGCAGTAGTAGCTTTAGTAGGACTGACTTGCATAATCACAAAATTATGGCAAGCTTGATTGAGATTCAGTTCACATTTAAAGGCGAACCTGCAAATTTGCATTTTCGGAAACAACAAGCGAACTAAAACGCAGACATCCTTTGACAACCACACTTCATCAAATATACTGGTGTAAAGTGTGCATAAAATTGCATATGTTTAATTTCCGTTGATAGAAAACATATTCCCTCCCCCCGTTATTTTCATTAACATATGCATTTTTGCGCACATTTTATCCTAGCATATGCATCATGAATATACATTAAGTAAAATTACAGAAGAATGTGCCTCTCAGGTGAAATTCACTGGTGAATTTAAGACTGGGGAAATAAGAAACTGAGAGAAGCTGAAAGAGACAGATTTGCCCACCTCTGTGGCGCTGTGGGTTAAACCACAGAGCCTAGGACTTGCCGATCAGAAGGTCGGCGGTTCGAATCCCTGCGACGGGGTGAGCTCCCGTTGCTCGGTCCCTGCTCCTGCCAACCTAGCAGTTCGAAAGCACGTCAAAGTGCAAGTAGATAAATAGGTACCGCTCCGGTGGGAAGGTAAACGGCGTTTCCGTGTGCTGCTCTGGTTTGCCAGAAGCGGCTTAGTCATGCTGGCCACATGACCTGGAAGCTGTACGCCGGCTCCCTCGGCCAATAAAGCGAGATGAGTGCCTCAACCCCAGAGTCGGTCACGACTGGACCTAATGGTCAGGGGTCCCTTTACCTTTACCTCTCTTCCATCTTTAGCCAGCCTCACTCCTCCAAAATCTCCCTTCCCTTCCCAAGTCTTGCTCACCTTATTTCGAAGGTCCTCAATAGTGGTGTGGTATTTGCTGTAGTCGCGGAGGCCTCCGCCGGCGTGCGACGCCGATTTCTCATGCCAGGTTTTGATTTTGAGCTCCAGGTCGCTGTTGGCCTCCTCCAGAGCCCGCACCTTGGATAGGTAGGAGGCCAAGCGGTCGTTCAGGTTCTGCATGGTTTCTTTCTCCCCTCCCGAGAGAAGCCCACCATCGCTGCCGGCAGCGCCACCACAGCTGTAGCTCTGGAAGTAGCCCCCAGCCCCACCTCCCAGGCTGCCCCATCCTGACCTCGTGCCCCAGGCTGCCTCACCACCAAAACTCCCTGCGCTGAAGGACCCTCCACCCAAGGCATGCGCTCCACAGCCAGAAAGCTTTATAGACGCCCCACCGCAGCGAGAGGAGGAAACCTGCCTAGATCCCCGGCTAAAGTAAGACATGATCTCAAGGAAGTTTTAAGCAAGCTTGCAGGGAGAAAAGCAGAAGATTCACCCAAGGGGAGTTTTCTTGAGCAGTCAGAAGAGCATCAAGGTTTTATATGCCGACTTTGTTAAGGGTGTGTTCCTTCGTTGGAACGTCATTTCATCGCTGCATTGTTTGTTTGGAAGATTTATCATTTCAAGCCTTCATGACTGATGGATATTAATAACTTGGCCCGGTCTTCCATCTTGTTCATTTGCCCCCTGGGCCATTTGTGAGTCTTCTCCCACCCCACTCCCAAGATGGCGAATGGGTGGGTATCACCTGGTCGAAACATTCATCATCAGCACCATCTTTTCAGCAAGGTTGAGTAATTCCTCCCATCCCACCTGCCGTCTTTCTCTGTGTGTTTTCAAAGCCCATCATTATAAACATATTTCTTTGGGTCCCTACCCACTTTTTTTCCACACTCGCGCTTGCAACACTCTTTTGTGGCAGAGGGGTGTGCAAACCGCTTTTCAAGGATGGTTCCCTCGCGTTGCGATTTCCTCACCCTGGGTGGTGCAGAGAGAGAACTATGCAGTTTGTATTAGCCCTGCGAAATTGTCTCAGCTGTCTCAGCTGTCTGCTTTTCTGATGCGGAAGTTTGATATTCTCATTATTTCTTTAAGCACCGCGTTTTAAGGCTAAACTCACAAGGCGCTGCTTTGATTTCCTGAAGCTTTTTGCTCTCAAATTGTCAAGGATCCAGTGAATGAAACATATTTAAAGAATCTGCTTAACCAAACCGGCTTTGGAACACTTGGGAAATGGAAACTAATGGTTTCGTGATGGAAGTGTAGGATGATTGAGGAGATCGCTTTTGCTGAATCAAGTCAGCTTGAAGACTTAGGCGTTCCTAAGAAAAAATAAAAGATATGTACATCCAGGATAAGGCAGCAAGACAAAATGATTATTCTTGTGTGTACTTGTTGCTGGGAATCTTAGGTGGGGAGAACCCTGTGGCACTCAGGTCCTGCTTGAAGATTATGAGAACAGGACAGAGGTGGTCATCTCAACATCTTGTATAAAATTCCATAGTTTAACTATGCTGTGTGTGATGAATTACCTCCTGTCACCTCTCCTCAGTCCTCAGCTTCTTTGGATCACCTTGGCTTCTAGGCTGCTTCTGAAGACAGTTCGGAAACTTCAGCTAGTGCAGAACTCAGTAGCCATGTTGCTCACCAGAGCAAGACAGTTTAAGCATATTACACCGATCCCGGTCCAACTGCACAGGCTACCAATTAGTTTCTGGGCCCAATTCAAAGTGCTAGTTTTGCCTTATAAAGCGTTAAATGGCTCGGGACCGCAATACCTCACAGACTGCCTCTTTCCGCATGAACCTACCTGGACCCTGAGCTCATCATCTGAGTCCCTCCTGCATGTGCCTCTTCCTCGAGAGGTTCAGAGGGTGGCAACACGAGAACGGGCCTTCTCTGCAGTAGCACCCCATCTGTGGAATGCTCTCCCCAGGGAAGTTTGCCTGGTGCCTTCATTATACACCTTTAGGCACCAAGCAAAAACATTCCTTTTTAACCAGGCCTTTGGTTGACCTGATCAACATCCCATACCCTTTTAAAATGTAGCTCTTTTTTTGGAGGGTATTATCGGGTTATTGTTTTTGTTTTGATTTTATATATTGCAATCTTTTTTGTGAACTGCCCTGAGATCTCTGGGTATAGGGTGGTATATAAATTCAAATAATAATAATAATAATAATAATAATAATAATAATAACAACAACAATAATAATAATAATACAGGGAGGGCAAAGGTCTCTCCATCCACTTTCTCTGCACACAACACAGTATTCCGAATGTGACTGCACTAGGCATATTTTAGCAATATTAGTTTCAATTTCCGCTGTATACTTGAAGCCTTTCCATTCTATGTGCGCAGACTTGTGAGATCCGGAGCTCACCAACTGGAACCAGGTGCCACACCAGTCCTTAGGGCAGAGGGCAGAGAAGGGGCTGAACAGTCGGTGCTCAAATGTCAGGATCGGATTTGCCTCTGAGCTCATGCTCTGTGCAGGAATCTGTTTTCAGTACAAGAACTGAGTCCACAGTGCTTTCATTCAAAATCCACTCATTCCCCACCCAAGCATTTTTCATTACAACCACCTCACTTAGGGGTACCCTCTTGTTGTTGTTTTTTTAAAAATTGCTATTGCTAAACAACTGGGAGTCAGAAACCCTTGCCATTCTCAGTGTCGGATTTACGTATAAGCTAAACAAGCCATAGCTTAGGGCTCCACTTTCTTGGAGGCCCCCCAAAAATTCAAAGAAAAAAAACCAAACTGGATGTACATTTCCAAAATATAAGATAAAAAACAAATGAAACAAAACCTACAGTACATACAGCAACAGTGTTTTGTGTTGTGTAGGCTCCTATAATGTAAGTAATGGGCACAGCCTGCTAGCCTGCTAAAATATCACTGGTTTGCTCATTTCTATATATGGGGTGCCTACATTCTGCATGGACTGGTTGCACGGCAACATGTGCAAATGGCTTTAGATACCTACTAGGTCCATAAATCACCATATAGCATATATTCAACACAAAAAAACAATGAGAATTTGTTTTTGACAAAGGACAGCTGGACATATAAAGGGCCCCATTACCTTCAGTAGCTTAGGGCCCCATCAAACCTATATCCGGTCCTGGCGATTCTACTGCCATCCACCCAAAGGCCTCGTACCCAGTAGATCCTGATCTGTCTTCTGTCCACACCTGAGCGAGAGCAAGCGTAGCCAAATGCCTCAGAGACATTGACCTCTGAACCCGGAAGCCCTAATTTAAACTTTCTTTGGGCCATCATCCCGTTAGGTAGTGTTACGCAGCCTGCACTAACGAAGTAAGTGGTTTACTCCCTCTTATCATCGGCTGCACCTATATCTTTGCAAGATGGGGAGAGTAAGAGTCCTGACAAATCTCACCGGGTGTTATAAGGATTACCGAGACAGTGTTTGTGGACATTCTGAAGTGCTGCATAAATACTGTTGTTACAGCGAATTGTAATTCTTGGAGTGATGGGATCAAAACGAATTACGCAACGTCACGGAGGACGGGGCCACCTGAGTGGATCGTAATCTTCGATACTGGATGGGGCATGAGGCAGTGTGCAAGGGAGCTAGATTTGGGGTGGCTTTGTATCTTACTTTACAAAAGAAGAGGCCTTTGTTGGAAGAGGTGTCACAGGAAAATCCTCTGTTTGGAGGCCCCTCTGGTCTGGCCCGAGTCCATTTTAAAGATATAGCATGCAGGGAACTTGGCGTTTGCTGTGAAGAGTTAGCACCCAGAGAGCAGATTGAGCCGGCGGCATGCAGGCACTGGTGGAGGAAGATGGGGTGGGGGGAGCAGCACAATCCCGGTGGGGTGCCATCGCAGCTGCTCCCCCACCCGCGCTGGGCGCCATGCCCCCGTAGGCGGCACACCATGGTCCCAGGATGAGCGCCACACCCCCAGGATGTGTGCCACTGCCCCACGACACGTGCCACGCCCCTGTGGGTGATGCACCACACCCCCAGGACGTGCACTAGCCATGCCCCCACCTGCTCTCCGCCCCCCGGTGCCGGAGCATGAAGCTCCGCCACTGCATGCAGGGCACCTGCTCACTGTCTTCTGCACGATGATGGGATAATAATAATAATACTAATACTAATATATTATTTATACCCCACCCATCTGGCTGGGTTTCCCCAGCCACTTTGTGAGGCTTCCAACAGAATATTAAAATACAATAGTCTATTAAACATTAAAAGCTTCCCTAAACAGGGCTGCCTTCAGATGTCTTCTAAAAGTCTGGTAGTTGTTCTTCTCTTTGACATCTGGTGGGAGGGCGTTCCACAGGGCGGGTGCCACTACCGAGAAGGCCCTCTGCCTGGTTCCCTGTAACTTGGCTTCTCGCAGTGAGGGAACCACCAGAAGGCCCTTGGCACTGGACCTCAGTGTCCGGGCAGAACGATGGGGGTGGAGACGCTCCTTCAGGTATACTGGACTGAGATGCATTTCTATTTAAATTATCGTGATTCCCCCCTCCCCCAAAATTTGCACCTATGTGCATACACAGCACATTCAAAAGTTATGCAAATCGATGTCCTCTTTTGGGGCAACCAACTGACCTTGTCTGTTCGCTCAGTCTGCAACCTTGGGCCAGCTGTACACTCTCAATCTAACCTACCCTGCAAGGTTGTTGTGAGAATAAAATGCGCTGTGGCAGGGAAGGCACATGTACGCCGCTGTGCGCTCCTTGGAGGAAGGGTAGGGTAAAATGATATCAATTAACAAATCGTAATAAAGTAAGAGTGGCAGGTAGCCAGCCATTGCTATGTTTCCAGAGTGAACAGGCTGCAATACCATCAATCTTCTCCAGTACCACTTTGGATATGCAGGATACTGTTCCTGCATAAACTCAGCTGTTATACTCATTGACCTTTTGGGAAACAAGGGGAAGATAATAGGCTAGTAGGCAGCCAGGATGCCACTGGCTTCAAAGGTGCCTACAAAGTACAGTACACTGAGAGGAACAAGAGCTACAGTTCCCCCTGTTTTGTTTTTTTTTAAAATGAAAAGGAGGCAGCCCTTAAGAAAGACAAAAAAGTCAACTGTGGTCATTTAATCTACATGGGTAGGTAAAATGGGCCAAATGACCTATACAGTGGTACCTCAGGTTAAGTACTTAATTCTTTCCAGAGGTCCGTACTTAACCTGAAACTGTTCTTAACCTGAAGCACCACTTTATCTAGTGGGGCCTCCTGCTGCTGCCACGCCACTGGAGCACAATTTCTGTTCTCATCCTGAAGCAAAGTATTTAACCCGAGGCAATATTTCTGGGTTAGCTGAGTCTGTAACCTGAAGCGTATGTAACCTGAGGTACCACTGTACAGATGGACTTTGGAATGCAGCTGTTTAATTTGGGGACTTTTCGTCATTCTGCAGAATAAGGCAATCTGGTTTATTAATTGGATCAGCCCAGCACAGGAACAGAAGGTGACAGAAATTACACCCATCTTGCAGCAGCAAAATTTACGGGCGACAGCTGTTTGCCAAAGGGTGTAGTCTTTGGCTGCTGAAGCTGATGACAGTTTCAGTGAAGCTAGGATTTATTGCTAAGAATTATTTATTTAGTAAATTTAATGTGTGAAGTGCTGTGCCATTTTCAGTTTGTCTGGACTCCTAGGAACCTTATGTGTCGGATCACTATAATCCCTGTGTTACTTGTTTAAGGCCACCAACCGATAGGGATGGGAGAATCTGCAAATTTTGGGGTTTTTTTTCCATTTCTCATTTCCCCACTCCTGTTTTCAGTTGGCCACATCCACGTCCCCTGCAGTTTGGGTCTGGGCAGGAAACTTGTCGTACCAAACTCCAGGATCCAAGAACAGAGATGAGGACTCTGAGGACCACATTCCCCTGTGGCAATCTTCCAGGGGCCACAAGTCAGTGCTGGGCAGAGCAAAAGTGGGTGGAATAAGTTTCTACACACATTCTCTGTCCAGGAAATCAAGCAGAATTATCAGAACATATTCCAGTCAGGAAAACACAGCTGTCGAGGGTGTGAAACAGGGCAGATAAGGGGTGTAGTTTGGGAAAAGAATGGGTGGCTAGGGAGAAACTGTGGCCTGGATTCCCGAGAGGTAAAGGTAAAGGGACCCCTGACCATTAGGTCCAGTCGTGACCGACTCTGGGGTTGCGGCGCTCTTCTCGCTTTATTGGCCGAGGGAGCCGGCGTACAGCTTCCGGGTCATGTGGCCAGCATGACTAAGCCGCTTCTGGCGAACCAGAGCAGCACACGGAAACACCATTTACCTTCCTGCCGGAGCGGTACCTATTTATCTACTTGCACTTTGACGTGCTTTCGAACCACTAGGTTGGCAGGAGAAGGGACCAAGCAATGGGAGCTCACCCTGTCGTGGGGATTCGAACCGCCAACCTTCTGATCGGCAAGCTCTAGGCTCTGTGGTTTAACCCACAGTGCCACCCACGTCTCTCCTGAGAGGTAGAGAGGCCTAGAGGGCCACATTCAGCCCTTTGGCCTATCCCTGCACCAACATGTGACTGGTGGTCTAATGACAGCTTCTCCACAAGTGCTTCAGGAGCGCAGGGGTTTTTTGAACTCACAGCCTGGCCTCACATACATGGAGATGACCTTCATGATCATTGGGGCTTCTATGTGGAGGATCTTCATGGGGCTGGGCAATTAAGATGCACACAGCTGCAGTAACTTGGAAACAGGGCTGCTGTGATTGTTTTACTGAGTGTAGTCCTCTCTTTTGAAGGATGCTCAGAGGGCAGCCCTCTCTTAGATGGTGTCCTCAGTTTGAGGGCTGTCCCATCCGTGACTGGTTTGTAGATCTGAAACCAAGAGATCCACGTTCCTTCCTTGCTGTGCTGGTCGGGGCTAATGGGAGTTGTAGTCCCACGCGCCTAGAAGCCACCAGTTTGGAGAAGACTGGCACAGGCAGTATGTAGACAATGCTTTAAAAGAAAGACACCTGACCACAATGTTATCATTTACTTGCTACAGAAGGAAAATCTTTATTGCAGGCTGCTAGCTGATAAGATCACGGTTTTCTGTCTCGGTTTGCATGGAAGAAAGGTGCTCAAGAAAGCAGCAGTGACAGAAGCAGAGAAAAAAGGCAATACTAAGACGGCATTGTGGGTTTAAGGCAGAAATCTTCAAGCTCCTGACACCTTGGCATAGCTTTTTTCATGGCATGCATCTGCTATGGCATGCTTCAAAAGATTCCCCATGAGCATCTGAGATGGCTTATTTAATTGGCTTTTCTTCAACCGACTGGACGTGAGTCGAGACGACTTGATCACCAATTCTATCTTCCACTATTGTCTTGATCACTCTTGTTTTTTGTACATCTGTGCAAGAAAGAAAATGCAGGCATTTAGGAGAGCAGTTATTCTTTTAAACAGGCAGATCACGGAGCTCTTATTTAAACATGGGGGGGGTACTGTACTACTTAGAAATACAGAAAGCTGCCTTATAGTGAACCAGACCATTGACCCATATAAGCCAGTATTGTCTATACTGATTGGCAGCAGCTATCCAGGTTTCTGTCTGCTTTCCCAGTTCTGCTTGGATATGTAGGTGATTGAACCTGGGATGTTCTGTATGTAAGGCAGATGCTCTGTCATTGTGCCACACACTCTGTGCCATCAATATCCCATTTGCCCAGAGTTGACCCACAATTCATAGCCCATGCAAATAGCAGCTTGGAGGGAAGAGGGTCAGTGGGAGCGGCTGCAACCCTGATCAACTATCCCATTGGGCAATTTCTGCACTGGGTGACTGTGGTGATCACACACAGGGCCCCTGGTCTATTGACCCTGTGCCACCACTGCGATTGCTTTTTCCGCTGCCACCATGCCATATCTCAGGGGGACACACGGAGTCCAGATAATTGTTAACATTAACAAATAATCAAGTTTATTTTTAAATGCAGGAACAAGCTTATGGTTTCAGTTAATTTTGCTTAGATCTTAGTTCCTAACAACTTCAAACTGATTATTCCCAACTATCTATCTGACTCCACCTGACAATTCCTCTCACTCTCTCACAATAAACTCTACCAACCCACACCTAATTCTCCCTCTTCCTTCTCCAATTCCCAAACCTCAACTGACTTTCAAAACCTCCCACTCTAACTTTTACTCCTCCCTTGCATTCCCACTGGCCAATCACATCACACTCATTTAACCCTTTCCTTATGACCCACTCTAGGAGGCAAACGCCACAGTGACCATTTGAGATAAAGTTGTTATTACACTGGTGGCTCCTTAACATTGATTCTTTCTTCACCAGCACAACCCTGCCATATACGGAACTTTCTCAGTTCAATTTTGGTATTCCAATAGGCAATTTATCAGCACTATTTCACCCTCTGAAATTAGTAGCAAAATAAATGTGCATTTTTAACAAAAATAGAAATGTGCATTTTTAACAGAAAAATAAGAGCAATATGTATTACCTCTGCTGCTGCTTCCATATCTTGATCCTGAATCCTGGGAACTTTCACCACTAAATCCTCTGTCTGTAGATCCTGAGCTTCTAGATTGCGAGTCTGCAGACCCAGAGCCTCTGGACTGTGACTGAAAGCTGGAAGTTTCTTGGACCCTGGATCTGGAATCTGAAGAACTGGAAGATCCGAACCCTCTAGATCCTGTGGATCTCGAGTCTCCACTGCCAAAAGCTCTGGATCCAGAGCTGGAAGATGTCTGGTCTCTAGAACTTGAACCTACAGATCCTCTAGATCTAGTTTCTGAAGAGGTTCTTCTGGATCCAGATTCAAAATCACTATAAGAACAGTAAAAAACAAACAAACTTTAACCTTGGTTGGGGGGGGAGAGGGCTTCTGTGAATGTACCTTTGACAGTACCAAGATCAGTAAAGTCTTTATTGTAGATATTATGTGGGATCGAGATAAAAAAAGATGAGAAAAGGCAACATCTATCTGAACTGTAATGAAGTTTGGATGTATTGAGTAAGTGTGCTAATATCATTGTGGGTGGTTGGGTGCAGAAGTACTTCACACTCTTTCTCTCACAGCCCTTTCCCCCACTTTGCATGTGCGCAGATGCGGAGCATCTGGATGTGAATGCTTCAAGTTGCGGATGTGCCTCGAGTCTCGAGGTTCCACTGTAGCCATAAAGATGTTTTCCTTTCCAGCAGATTTTTCTATTTCTCCCAAACTCTATAGAAATTCTTCCTTAGATTATGGTTCATAAAACTTTTATAAGTTCTCGCCTTCCCATACCAGAGACATGCATGCCAGCTGAAGTTTAAATCGTGACCTTCTAAATCCAGGATGTCTGCATTATTCAAAATGATCAATTCTTTTAACCAGCACAAGCAGGCTGCCTCATAATACATTTGCCCTTTTCTGAACCAGAAATAGAAAGAAAGGGCATGTTTCTTGGAGACTATGCAAACTGACTGGAGAATGTGCATATTGAGAGGGGGAACGTCCAATTAAGCAATGAGAAACCAAGTGATGTGTGGACCCTTAGGCAAAGGAGAACCAAAGACATTTAGGAACAGCAGATTCTACCACGTTCCTCCCTTTTTTACCTGTCTCCTCCATCCAGCAGACTGCGGTAAGTCTCGATCTCATTCTCCAGGCGGATCTTGATATCCAGGAGCTGTTCATATTCTCTATTTTGGCTTTCCATGTCTTCCCTGATCTGCACCACTTGTCCCTCAACATTGCTTATCACTCCTTGTATCTGGGCAAGTTCGCCACAGAATCTGCCTTCTACATCTGCCAGGGTGGCCTCCAGAGATTGTTTCTGATGAAAGGGGGGGGAATGGAACATTGGAAGTTGAATAAAAAGATAAAACGAGAACACAAACAGATAATAAAAAACATAAACAAACAAATAGCCCCTCCCACAAACACATTTAAAAGATCATAGTATGTTTAATGGTAGGGCTGGATGCCACAAGGCCATGTGTACCCTCTGTGTATATTCTCTATCTCTCTTCTTGTTTTAAACTTAAGGAAGGGTTAGAAAGGTAATAAAGTAATAAGTAAAGAAAGATGCTAACTGTTAGCCCCAAAATGGAAAGTGAGCGAGGTCCCAACTAAAGAGGACAGGCAACTTAAGTCGACAGAATCTGCAGAACTTGCAGATTTAACACATAGAATAAGAGAGCAAGAAGAACATACATTTAAAGAAGAGTGGAAAACATTTATTGAATATGTGGGAAATGGTTGTATACAGCTGAAAACACTGGCCACCTTAAGATAAATTCAACAGAGTAAATAATTTTTGACGGATGTAAAAGTGGAAAATTGATTTGAATGGTTATAGTAAAATATGCAGGGATGTATGATACGCAAAATGAACCACGGAAAGAGAAGAGGGGAAGTCCCTGGATATTTTAAAGCTTGTGAAATGTTTATTTGCAATTGTAAAATTGTAAAATAAAAATTCTCAAAGAAAAAAGGATGCTAACTGAATGAAAGAAAGAATTCTTATACCATAGACAATTGGGTTTGCAGTTCCATTTCTAGGCTTTGCAGAGTGTGTCTTAGTTCGGTAATCTCACTCTTGTTGGTGCTGGTCTCTTCGACGCTGCTGCTGATCTGCTTATTCAGTTCTTGACTCTGAAATAAAGTGATTAAAAGAGGGAGAGAGTTATCCAAAGATTTTTAGTCAAATGAATAATTTTGCTTAAGGAAGAGTCCTCTGTGAAGTCAAAAGTGAGTGTTTTCTGCAAGACAAAAAGAAGGCACCTTTTATCATATGTGGTGGAATTGTAAAGTGATAAAGGAATTCTGGGAAATGATATATAATGGATTGAAAAATATGTTTCAAATAACTTTTGTTAAAAAAAAAGAAGCCTTTTTGTTAGGAATTGTAGGTGCAGAGATACTGAAGGAACTGAAAAGATTGTTTATGTATGGTACAATAGCTGCAAGGATGCCGCTTGCCCAGACCTGGGAAGATGACAAGATGTCTACGAAGGTGGACTGGCAGATGAAACTACTGGACTATGTAGAGATGGCAAGATCAACTGGGAAAATCAGAAATCAGGAGGATCAAAGCTTCAACAAGGAATGGGACAAATTCATATTATATTTGAAAGACCACTGTAAACACTTGAACTCTTTGGCAGGTTTTAAAGGTTGCAATGATACATAGACCTTCGATACAATGGAGGATTGTAAATTAGATGGACATATAATATGCAGTTTTAAAAAAAGTTACCTTAAGGAACCCACGGAGGGGAGGAGGGAAGTCTTGAGTTTCGGAAGAATCTTGTGTTATTTTTTATTACTTGTGACTATGAGTGTGAATGAATTTGTAAAACCAAATGAAAACTATTGAAATAATAAAAAAAGTGAGCATTTCCGCCACCTACCTGTTCGTTGAACCAGGCCTCAATGTCTTGCCTGTTCTCCTCAGCGAGGGCTTCATATTCTCCTCTCATCTTATTGAGGAGCGCAGTCAGGTCAACTCCTGGGGCGGCATTCATTTGCACATCAATGCCTCCGGCCGTTGTATCAGTCACAGAGCTCATATCCTGCATCAATAAAAATGTTCTTTCAACACTTGCTGCAAGAGCAGGAAAATAAATCTTTTTTTAAAAAAATACCAGGAGTATCTCTGAGTAATTGTAATGTTTTCTAGATGATGTTTACTGGTTTCAATAGCTTTGCTTCTACTGCCCAGACTCCAGAGAGGTCTGTATCTGATCCAAAATAGATTGAGCAGGCGTAGGTTTGGGGTCCCTCTTACCCAGGCACCCCCAAACTTGGCCCTCCAGGTGTTTTGGGACTACAATTCTCATCATCCCTGACCACTGGTCCTGTTAGCTAGGGATGGTGGGAGGTGTAGTCCCAAAACATCTGGAGGACTGAGTTTGGGGGTGCCTGCTCTTACCATGGGGCCTTGGCCCCCACAATAAAATATTTGAGGGGGCCGGGCCCTCACAGAATTGATGAGCATTCCCATTCAAATGTTGCATTGTACACTGTGTCATGTGATTATGTGGGGTGGGGCTTACCTGGTCCCCCAACAATATTTTATTCAAGTTAGTACCCCTGTAATATTTGTATTCTGCGCCATCATTTATCTTAAGTTTTTCCTGCATAGCTAAAGCTTGATTTGGACACTGGTCTGTTTATTATCTATGTAAAGGTGAAAAGGCCTTTAAAGGTGAAAAGGTGACTGGCATGTGGCACTCATCTCGCTTTCAGGCCACAGGAGCCAGCGTTTGTCCACAGACAGCTTTCCAGTTCATGTAGCCAGCTTCTGGAGCAACGGAACACCGTGATGGAAACCAGAACGCACAGAAATGCCATTTACCGTCCTGCTGCAGCGGTACCTATCTATATACTTGCACTGGTGTACTTTTGAACTGCTAGGTTGGCAGAAGCTGGGGCAAAGCAACAGTACCTCACCCCATCATGTTAATTTGAACTGCCGACCTTCTGATCAGCAAGCCCAAGAGGCTCAGTGGTTTAGACCACAGTGCCACCCGCTCCCCTATTATCTATATGGGTAATGCAAACCAATACTATTAAGTCCCCCGCCAAGCACCCATTGCCCTTAAGATGTGTGTGTATATGTAAAGGTAAAGGTAAAGGGACCCCTGACCATTAGGTCCAGTCGTGACCGACTCTGGGGTTGCGGCGCTCATCTCGCTCTATAGGCCGAGGGAGCCGGCGTTTGTCTGCAGATAGCTTCTGGGTCATGTGGCCAGCATGACTAAGCCACTTCTGGTGAACCAGAGCAGCGCACGGAAATGCCGTTTACCTTCCTGCCAGAGCGGTACCTATTTATCTGCTTGCACTTTGACATGCTTTCGAATTGCTAGGTTGGCAGGAGCAGGGACCAAGCAACAGGAGCTCACCCCGTTGCGGGGATTCGAACCGCTGACCTTCTGATCGGCAAGTCCTAGGCTCTGTGCTTTAACCCACAGTGCCACCCGCATCCCTACATATGTAAAGGTAAATATACACAAACACACACATATTGGACCTGACTTTAGGCATTACTGAGACCTACATTACCTCTTCATGAGTCTTCTTCATGTACTCAAGCTCCTCAGTCAGGCTTTCAATCTGCATTTCAAGATCACTCCTGCTCATGGTTATCTCATCTAGGACCTTACGGAGGCCATTGGTGTCAGCTTCAACGCTCTGGCGGAGAGCCACATCATTGTCGTACCTGAAGCAAAATGGATTAAAAAGGTTGTCAGCAGATCATGTGGGAAACATCTGAACACACAGAGGGGAATATGTTCCTTCTCTGTGGCTGTTTTCTTCCATGCCTTCATTAGTTTTCTTCACGGCTGGAGGCAACAATGCTTCTGAAGACCAGTTCCTGGAAACCACAGGAGGAGAGAGGTCTCTTGCGCTCAAATCCTGCTTGCAGATGCTGGACTAGATGGGCCACTGGCCTGATTCAGCAGGCTCTTCTTAAGTTCCTATATTATTTTAAAGGTAAAGGGACCCCTGACCAGTAGGTCCAGTCGTGACCGACTCTGGGGTTGCGGCGCTCATCTCGCTATATTGGCCGAGGGAGCCGGCGTACAGCTTCTGGGTCATGTGGCCAGCATGACTAAGCCGCTTCTGGCGAACCAGAGCAGCGCATGGAAATGCAGTTTACCTTCCCACCAGAGTGGTACCTATTTATCTACTTGTACTTTGATGTGCTTTCAAACTGCTAGGTTGGCAGGAGCAGGGACCGAGCAACGGGAGCTCACCCCGTCATGAGGTTTCGAACTGCCAACCTTCTAATCGGCAAGTCCTAGGCTCTGTGGTTTAACCCACAGCTTTATGTTGGGGCTATTTGCTTGCATATCAGGTTTTAAAGAAGGTGTGGTTATCAGCGGTGTTTTTGTCACACATTATGAACCAAACCTGGAATTAGTTAAGCACTCAGCTAAATTTATGATGTGAAATTAGGGCTGCAGCCCTATAACCCTTGGGAGTAAGCCCCACTGAACTCCATGGGACGTACTTCTGAGTTGACATGGTTGGGTCTGTGCTGGAGCATACAAATGCAATTCATTGGCTGGTGGGTATGAATTTGTTCCACCCAAGCATACAGTAAATGTACTGTATTTACACCTCATGGGATATGCATGCTGGAGACCTCACAATAGGCTGGTTTTTCTGCTCTACACGAATGATTCAGCAAACATCTCCACCAGGATGTGGAGCAGATGCCCATTTTGTCCCACTTACTTCAGCTTGAAGTCAGCAGCAGCCAGCCTAGCATTGTCAACCTGCAAAATGAGGCCGCCATTGTCTGTAATTGCAGCAATTATCTGCAAAAGAAAGAATCAATAATTAATATATAATTGAATGTTGAATTCGGACATGCAGTAAGTTCCTCTCCCAACTCATTCACACACATTTAAAGCACTATGATACCACTTTAAATAGTCATGGCTTCCCCCAGAGAAATAAACGACAGTGCTGTTGGAAATTCCTACCCAATTTTAATTTGTACAGTAATTATTATTTAGCACCATTAAGAATAGGACGGATTATGAATTATGTTATATTTCTTAACTGTCTCCCTTTGTTGTGGGAAGTCAAGACAAGTCTGGTTAATTAATGAGGGGAATATATAGTATTAAATAGACAGATGAGAGATATACGGGTTTTAAAACGACATCATTTCTTTCTTCTCTTTTATATAGTTAGAATAGATTTTGTCTAAAACTAAGCATCCAATAAGTTTAAGGAGTTTTTTTAATTAGAATGGAAGAATACTAACAAAAAACCCACAGAAAAGTAGGTAAATAAAATTAATATTTCAGCAATAGATGACTGGGGAGCTGGGGCTACTCCTCTATGAAGAAAGGTTACAATATTTCTGTGACCCACCCCGAGACCTCTGGGTATAGGGTAGTAGATAAACTCAATTGATAATAATAATAATGTGAGGGTTGGGGGAATAAAAGTATGCCCTTTGTCAAAATGGATCTCACCTTCCAGGGGTGTCTTTGAGAAAGGGCTGTAACTCAATGATAGAGCATCTGCTTTGCATGCAGATTCAATCCCTGGCATCTCCAGAACAGACTAGGAGAGAAGCCTCTCTGAAATCATGGACAGTCACTATGACTCAGTGTAGACAACACCAACATAGTTGGATGAGTAGCTTGGCTAAGTGTAAGGCACCTTCCTATGTTCTGGTGTCTCCAGTTATTTCCTAGTTATTAAGGGGCATTCACCAGTAATTTTCCTAATAGATGTGTTTGGCAACTTGGCTTGTTGACCATTAAGGGACCTCAGCAGTCCTTCTGGCCCCATTAACTCTCTCCTGCCCCCCTCCACCTGCAAATTCACAACATAAATATAGCCGTACCTTGGTTTTTGAACAACTTAGTTCTGGAACATATTGGCTCCTGAACACAAAAGAAGTGATGTTCCGGTTTGCAAACTATTTTGGGAAGCCGAACATCTGAAGGGGCTTCCACAGCTTCCCATTGGCTGCAGGAAGCACTTTGTTTTCCGAACATTTTGGGAGTCGAACGGACTTCTGGAATGGATTCCGTTTGACTTCCAAGGTACGACTGTATAAGCCTTGTGAATCGAACAAACGCAGCAAATAAAGCCCTGCGACATATCTGCGTGGCTTGTTTCTTTCCATACCTGTGCCCTAAGGTCATCGATGACTGTGTAATACTTGCTGTAATCCCGTTGCTCTCCGCCTCTGGTGCTTCCTCCAAACTTCTCGTACCATTCTGCAATCTTCCTCTCCAGGTCACTGTTCGCCTCCTCCAGCGCTTGGACGTTGTTCAGATAGGCTGCCAAGCGGTCGTTGAGATTTTGCATCGTCTGCTTCTCGCCGCCGGAAAGGAGTCCGCCCTCGCCGCCCCCGAAGCCGTTAAAGCCCCCGGCCGACCCACCTCCAACGGCGCCCCACACAGCACTTGAGCCCCAGGACCCACCAGCACCACATGACATGCCACCAGAACTCCATCTCCCTCTGCTCTCAGACATCCCATTCATACCGCACATGCCCCCGCCAGAGCCCCAGGCGCCGCCACCACAGCTGGAGCCTCCACCAATGGTCCTTCTGCTAGATCCACCGCTGAAGCTTGAGCTTCCACCCAAGCCCCTGCCGCTCGATCCACCACTGAAACTGGAGCTTCCACCAAAGGCCCTGCCGCTCGATCCACCGCTGAAGCTGCATGCTCCATGGCCAGACATCCTTGCAGGTCCTCGGCTGCTGTTGCTGCTGCTGCGGGAAGAAGCGGCTTGCCTGGAGGACTGGCTAAAGAAACTCATGTTTGCAGCACAACGTACAGAGGACCTTCCCTGTGCAGAAATGCAGCGATGGTGACCTCGGAAGGCAGTTTTTACCTTTTTATACACAAATGTGCAATTGCATCATACTCCTAAGTGTATGGTGTGTTTTTTTGCCAAATTGCTAGCCTAGCCCATCATTAGCTAATTATAATAATTAATAGCTAATCCCAATATGCATGCTTGGGTTCTTCCCTCTGGTTAATCAGCATGTCAACATGGAGAATAGGTGGAGCTGGGTGGGCCAAACCTTTCATTAGAGTACTTGGAACTCAATTGAGTAATTACTGTACTTTCCTTTTTATAGCTTCGCTGCTTCCTAACACATTATTGCATGCTATTTCTTTAGGTACAGTGGTACCTCGGGTTACAGACGCTTCAGGTTACAGACTCCACTAACCCAGAAATAGTACCTCAGGTTAAGAAATTTACCTCAGGATGAGAACAGAAATCGTGCAGTGGCAGTGCAGCGGCAGCAGGAGGCCCCATTAGCTAAAGTGGTACCTCAGGTTAAGAACAGTTTCAGGTTAAGAACGGACCTCTGGAACGAATTAAGTTCTTAACCCGGGGTACCACTATATGCTCGTTTTATCCCTGCATTACCGTGCCTCTTTTTTCCTTCTACCTTTTGCACACATCTTGCCGGAATTGCAGCGTTAACTTTCAGGTTAACGCTGATTCTGCAGGTTTTATTCCAGTGTAGACAAAAACGAAGAACTTCTTCACACGGTGTGTGGTTAAACTGAGGAGCTTGTTTCCACAAGAGACAGGGAGAGCCAACAACTTGGATAGCTTTAAAAGAGGACTGGACAAATTCACTCAGGAGAAGGCTGTCGATGCCTACTAACCCTGATGGCTATGTTTGACCTTCACGGTTTGAGGCAATATATCTCTGAACACCAGTTGCTGGAAACCATGGGAGTGGAGAGCGCTGTCATGCTTGAGTCCTGCCTGAGAGCTTCCCGTAAGCATCTGGTTGACCAATGGGAGAACAGAGTCCTGGACTAGCTGGACTAAAGCACAGGTCCCTGACCCTTTACACCAGGGAGAGATTTTGGACCACAGAGATTCAGGGGGGCAAATCAGATTCTTAGAACCACAGAAGTTCATAACTAGTAGCTGGTGGCTCCTGTTTATCACTGTGCTGAGCTGTCATATAGTTTATAGGCTCCCTTCCCCATCGCTTCTCTTAGGACTGACTTATGTCTGGGTTTTCCAGGAATCGGGCTTTCTGGGGGGACTTTTCCAAAAAAAGCTCAGCTTTGGGGAATATGGCAACCCTAGCTCCACTGCTATTTAGTTTAGAAAGGGTAGGAAAGACCATATCTCACAGAGAGATTGATCTAATCTATCAGACCCTTTTCTGCAGAAGAAAACATACTAAATAATAAAAAGATACGAAGATTTTTTTTAAAAAAATACCCCAAGACAAACATAAACAGATTTTTAATGCATGCACGCATAAAAATGGCAACAAATGGCAGCAGTCATAATGAAAACAACCACATTGTGGGAAAGCTTGCAGAAAAGCTAATATGGCTTTTGATGCTGACCAACGGGGCATAGGCCTTTTGAAAGGGGGTGTAAAGTTATGCACTTGCAGTAGCAGCACTGAATAATTTCCCCCCTATTGCCATTATGTCTAGAAGCAGCTGTCATTTGGTGAATGGGGTTTAAGCTCTGCTTTAAAAGCACACCGGTTTTTGCATTAATGCAATGCGATACAATGCTATATGGCTACACCGGGAGGGAATCCAGTTTATTCAGTTTATTTTTCTTTGTTAATTTCAGAGGATTATTTGATTTGTTGCTTTAAAAATCCAACAGTTTTGGTAAAACAAAGATAATCAGGAAGGTGGTAGGATTTTTATTCTGCTATCTACATAAGAATTTCCTATGAAAGGATCCTTAATGTTTTGTGATCCATCAGCTATTTGACTCCCCTCCCCCCTTTTTTAAAATGGCAAGTACCTGTAAGTGCCCTGCCTTGAGCAGAGGTCACAGTATATTTTGGATGCAGTTCAAATGCTTGCTTGAAAAGTAATTTTTTAAAAACCATCATCTTAATTCTGTGATTCTATGCTTAATTCTGGATTGAAAATAATTATGCTGTCAATGAATGGTGGCAGGTGAGTCTATGATAGTGCACTTAGCGTATACTGGCTAATTTTCCTCCCGGCTTTCAAAGGGCAGATGAAGTTGTTGTTTTTTATCCCACTAATTACTTAAAGCTTGTCATGACTGCTGACTAGCTAAATCTCCTTTTCAATTAAAATAATGTTAGATACATTGCATCACGCATACCCTTTGCCAAACCCAGAAACATAAATCATCTTTTGAGACCACAGAGGCAAGCTTTTGTTAACCTGTTAGTCATTCTCCATCAACCACGGCCATCACATTGAAGAAAGACATGAGCACCTTTTTGTATTGCTTCTGACTGCACCAATGAAGGTTCTGCTCCATCTGACTAATACGGGTTCACAAGGGCAAGAGATGACACTGGAGTCAACGCCATAACTTTCACAATCCTGGAGCAAACACCAGTCCTATCCAGTATCCATAGTGGTGCTTGCCAGATCAATGATCTGCAGCAAAGGTTTCCAACCTTTTGAGCCCATGTCTTACTTAACCAACCACATTCTTTCTGTGGCAACCCTGTGGGGCTCAGGAGCCCAGTTACGTCACCCCTTGCCTTCAGAGCCGGCAGCCCCTCACCCCTTTTTGAACACCCTCCCTTGTGGAGTGTTCCCTCAGCCTTCTCTCCTCTCCCCTCTCCTTGGGAGTCTTCCAGGCAGCTACCGCTACCACCCCAGTCTCTGAGCCACCCCCTGCCCCAAAGAGGGGTGCCTCCTCACAGTGCCCCACAGGGGCCTGGGAAGAGAAGAAGAAGAAGAGTTTGGATTTGATATCCTGCTTTATCACTACCCTAAGGAGTCTCAAAGCAGCTAACAATCTCCTTTTCCCTTCCTCCCCCACAACAAACACTCTGTGAGGTGAGTGAGGCTGAGAGACTTCAGAGGAGTGTGACTGGCCCAAGGTCACCCAGCAGCTGCATGTGGAGGAGCGGGGAAGCGAAGCCGGTTCACCAGATTACAAGTCTACTGCTCTTAACCATTATACCACACTGGCTGGATGCCCCCAGCCATAACAGCCTGACAGAGATTGGCCAAAGGTGAACATGAGGACAGCCCCTTACTCACCTTGGGAGGTAGCAGTGGGCGTTGCCAGGCCTGCATGGCAGAATGGCTCCCCTTCGGTGCTGGGCATGCAGCTCCCAGACAGGCCTTTCACACAGCAAGCACAAGAAAGGCCAGGGCAGCGCCTGCCTGCCTGCCCAGCCTCCCACTTGTCTGTCCATTCCCAACAGCGAGGGCTGGCTGGCTGGCTGGGCTCCCTCACCTACTTGCTTGCCTACTCCGAGGCCACCTCAGGTCCTGGCAACCAGCACCCTCTGGCCTGCGCCAGAGGCACCATTTGCCTGGGGCTGTTGCAACAAACAACAAATATATAAAATGAAAGGGTTTAAGGTCAGTAAAAAAGAGGAGGATTGGTTTGAGAAAATATTGAATTATTTGGGCAGGTTTGAACAATTTGGGGCAATTAAAATGTTAAAAGTTAAACAAACCTTGTGGAGGGATGAGTGTTAAGGTATATAGAATTATACATATGGTTGATTTGAATATGTTATTATTGATTATGTATACCCAATGTAACAGCTGCCTGGGGGTTTTCACTGTTCGTTTTCACTGTTTGTGTTTTGATTGTTGGTAAAAAAAATTAAAAAATTAAAAAATTAAACACACACACACACACACACACACACACACACCAAACAACCACACAAGCCTTTGGGAGGCAGAGATGCAAGAGGGCATCAGAGGAGGGAGGGACGGGAAGAGGGACAGAGGCCAGTGTTGCCCACGGCACCCCTGACCATCATTCAAAGCACCCCAAGATGCCACAGCACACTGGTTGAAAACCTCTGTTCTACAGTCGCAGCAAGCAGTGTAACTATCCAATGGTTTGACTTCACTCCCAAAGGCACACTCCTCCATTGTCTTCCAAGACAGACGTATGCTAAAATCTATTGTTCCGGAAGGATTTTTCGGTCCTATGGCAAATCTGGATAGCCTCATCCTTTTGCATTTTATTTAACAGTGAAGATGACACATGTACCATCCCTTCATGCAGGAAAGTGGACAGACTTGTGTGGTAGGACAGCGAGGGGTCGGGAATCCTCAGCATCTGGATAGCTCAGTTGGTTGCTCCTAGAGGCTAATCTTCCCTCGGTAGAATTATGGACCTGGTGTAGGGCACTTAACTAATGGCTTCGCCTAAACTCAAATCCCCCCTGTTTAATATCCCTAATGCTGCAAGATTGTCACAAGAGTGCCTGGACTAAAATTGTCTATCAAAAACTACACTCTTGTGGTTTATCACCACAACAGCTACACACTTTGGGCTTTAGTAAAGCAAACAGTCTAATTTGTCAGTGCCTAAATGGTATCGAGTGTCAGAACAACTTGGCCACAATAAGGAAATTTTGCCCATGATATGACTATTTTCCACCTTCCCATTTCAACTCTCTGGCACCCTATCTGCATAGATATCTAGCAATTCTAAAATATAGACGTGTTTTTACTCTCGCAAGATTGAATGTATCGTCCTTGGCTATACTGGAGGGATGATTCTAACAGATTCCACATGAAAAATGCTTATGTCCCTGTGGAGATGGCAGTACCGAATTGGTGGCGCATGCCCTTCTGCCTTGCACTCTTTATAAAGACTTGAGGAATGAGGTTATCCCTCTTTTATTGCCCAGCCACTGCCACAGTGTCCTTTCTCTTGGCAGATCAGGATGAGCAGATGACAGCAAAGGCTGCAAGGTTTTTAGCTGGGGCAATCAGAATAAGATCCACCATTTGACTCTTGATTCAAAACCCTAAAATGTATTTTATATAACTGAGTTTTTATTTCTA